TTAATAAAAAAAATATTTAATAAATTAAATTATGTTGTAAAGCCACGAGACTTTACAACATAATTCAATCTATTACATATTTTTTATTTCTGAAATATACATATATATGATTTATTTATACAAATCAATGAGATAAAAAATCGATTGATTTATTGACGAGACGAATGGAAGACCTACTGTTTCAAGATAAATGTTCAAGATAAGAAAAGATATTAAAATCAGATGATAAAAAGTGAAAAACAAAGTACTTTATCGATACACATTTATTTTAATAGATGACTCACCTTAGCATTTCTCGAAACTGCTTAACCCGCTAGATCGAGCAATCGCACGGTACTATGTTGCAGTTTAATTGCATCAAAAGTGCGTGCACGATGTGCGTAAGGGATACGTATTCCGGTATCTTATTAGGACATAACGGATGCGCGTTTGCGTCCAGTTTTTATCGTGTAGCGTGACCTTTATACGCGCGTTCATTTAGTACTGTCATGGAAAAGCCCATGAGAGATATGAGCGAGTTTGAGCACGTGGACCCTACCAGGATACACGCCGCGAGATTATAAATTCCCTGGTGCTTTTACGTTATCTCTTGCAGCAGCCTTCGTATTTCAGGAAGAAGGATATATATCGCATAGCTGTTGCAAGAGCTGTATCCTTCTGTTTTAAAGGTCATCCTGATATTTTCCTTGCATAGCATTCACGTTCGGATCCTACATAGTTCTATCCATATCGTATTTAATTTGCATCGCTCACGGAATGTATATAAAAATATTATAATTATATTATTCCTTATATATTTTATTTATCGGCAATCACGTATTATATCATTTGGTCGTAAGCAAATAATTCTTTTGTAATTTCTGCATATTATAGATTGATCAATAGATTAATAGCAATATTCTCCGCTGACTTATTAATCTTTTTGTTGTCACGTAAATTTCGAAAAAATTTCTTTTTTTATCTATTCTCTTTTTCTAACTAGAAAACTTCTTGTATTTGATAGTTCGTGTTAATAAAGCGATAAAGTACAAAATAATGCCGTAAGAAACGAGGTCTTACATCAAAAATCGCAAGAAAAAGATGAGAAATTGTCTTTAAAATTTCGCGTGTAAGCGAAAGGATAAAATATGGTCACTTTATGCTAACGAAAGTATATCCCTCCATCGATCGGTAACAGACCATGGCATTCTTTGTAAAAAAAAAAAATCAATATCACGACGACCAATGGATGCACGCCTTTGCGCGATGGTTTGCGTGCATCTTCCGGAACAGTTTGGGGTGCCGGTTTCACGCATGTTTACTCACACTTGTTCTGCTAACACGTCGATTGGGGGATAGAACCTTTTATTTTCATATTCGCTCCTAATCGATCACCACGTATATCGACAAAGCTACTCCCTAATCTCGCTAATGCGGAGAAGAAAGTCTCTCGCGACGTCTTTGTTTTAATATTCTCGGGCATCTTTTCATTAATGCATTTTTGATCGCGAATTAAGAGAGAAAACGGGCTGTAATGAAGCCCCGTGGGCTTTCATTATGTCTCGGTGCTGTTAGAAAATTATGACACTTTTTATGGCAATATTGTCGATAGAGAAAGTATACAAAGTATACCGAAACAATGATTTTTGTCATTATTCATTAGGTTTTCTGCGAAATAATAGCACAACCAGTGATAATATTTTTTCACAAAAACGTATACATTATTACACAAAAAATTTTAATAAAGATATAATTTAAAAGGATTATTGTTTTTACTAGAATTAATCATTATTTATGCGGTTCCGTTTTGAATACTTACTTTTATTAGTAACATTTAATTAATATATATATTAGAGAAACTTTTCCTCTTTCTTTTTATAAAGTTAACAACATTTGAAAATTAAAATATGTATTTAAAATTTATATATATTTTTTATATTTACTCTCCAAGACTGTCCCCCTTTTTTGATATTCTTTTTTATTATTTTAATCATCTTTATATAATGAATTATCTAACAAAACGCGCGCGCGCGTTATGATATCCATCGTTACTCTTTATTAACTTATCGCGCAATAACTGATATGAAAATCTACTTCTGTCTTTAATTTAAAATATCGAGATAATTAGCTTCAAGAATTTTATTCTAATGAATTAGAATCATTTGTGGAAACGTAAAATAACGAATTATATAATTATAAAGTATACAATAATAAAACATGTAATCGCAAAGTATGCAACAGTGACTCGCGTAACTGCAATGTATTGAAATCTCCAACATTTGATTTCATCTTAAAATCGAAAGCGACAATTAATTAATTAAAATATCTTATCGGTTAGATTAGGCAGTGACATATACATTGAAAATACGAGTGTATTTTTGTTATATCTTGTATATACATAAATTTTGATTATCGTAGATATTAATTGAACCTTTCACTTTTGTTATCAATTTTATCAAATGTAAATGGGATGATTAATTATTATCTTGAAACTTTTCGATACATCAATATAATCGATGAAAATCTCAAGGTAAATCGAAAAGATAATAAAACATCGCATTTAAATTCGCTCGTTGAAGATGACTATGGAAAGTCTCTCTCACTCAAAAAAGTGGTATTGCAACTACAGCAAAAATTTTCTGGGTGCGCAAAATTAACTGAGGTACATAAATGATTAGCAAATACTGTGATATCGCATATGTTTCGCATTTAATCAATCTAAGTGACAGAGACAGAATTTATATCTGAACTGTTTGTGAAATTTAGAAAGAATGTTTTTCTGTGGGGCGCCTATCCATGTTAAGGCCAATCATACTTGTTATAAAGTTTGGCTGTGGTAGACAGAAAAAATTAGCGGCAAGAAACAAATGAATATATAATCCTCACGTCTAACATATTTGTATAACGCGCTCAATCTATCTAGCTCTTTTAAACAATTTTTCTCAATTTTTCGATGCTGCAGTTATAATTGGCAGTTATATTTCTCACAAAGATCGTTCTGTAGTATCGAAACTCATATTTATCCAATGCAGTGATTAACATTTGGCAATGGGACCTAAATTTTCTAGAAGATATTATTAGAATATTGCTGCTATAAATTCTATATGTAACAGACAATATTCTAACAGATACAAAAAATAGCGATAAATTTTTGTTGTGACACCTAGAAATCTACCTATATCAGCAAGACATTTTTTTGAGTGTCTCATTCTTTAAGTTTTGCTCTTAATGCCACTTAATCAGCTAGCTGGAACGATCCACGATTGTCGCCTTCACTCGCTCAGTGAGAAAATGCTAATTGCAATTTGCGATGAGTGCGAGAAGAAGTCCCTCCGGAAAAGTGGGGCGCCGCTTTAGAAAGCGCGTTTTTTACGCGGCTCAAAGTAACTTTTCGCTGTTAGGTATCGTGTTCATTTATTTTGGGATCTCTCTTATTGACGACTCGCGAGAGAAGACGACAATGATGATTTAATCGGCAGATCGGGTCACGAGCGCGCGTTGAGGATTCATGATCGCGTTCCTCTAAGAAATGTACTGCTAGACGTTCGAGATTAATCCTGCCGATTTGATTTTTGTCTAAGAATGATCTCACGACGCCTTGGGAAGAGAGAACGGTGTATACATATAATTATACGAAGCGAGCAGTTAACCCCTAGTTGAAATAATCGCCGGTACTGTTATTGCTAGACTAATGTAGTCGTGAAGGTTCGCGAATTGATGTACATAAAACTCCGCTTTACGTCAAATTGTGTTTGAAATTTATTCGATTTATAATATACACATACAAGACCATCACACAATGCTGTATAATTTTTTCCTCTACTTGACTTAAAAACAAGAGTATATTAGAATTGTATAAAAACACAAGAATATATAGAGAATTGTATTTAAATACAGAAAGTTATAAAATACATCATCTTTTATTTATAAATAGAAAATAAAAAAGTAAATAATATTATTTTCGGATGATTTATACTTTTAATGGAAATATGTAAATTGCATATATTCGTCACATAAAAATAAAAGAGAGAGGGAGAGATAGTTCTAAGCTTTCTATAAATATTATTTATTGCAGAAGAAGAAGAACAAAATTTTTGAAGATGAAAGTACTTAATCAAATCACTGCGAAAAGCAACTTTTCCTACAATTCTTGTCGCTTATTAAAACGTCTATTAAAACGACTGGCGTTTAATCAACAACGTATAAAAAAAGCGCTTTCTCCAGTGATAATTCGCGTATATATAAGGAACGAAGATGATGACGACGACGACGACGGGTGGTCGTCTCCGCTCACCGCTCGCTATCAAAAAAGCAGCGAGTGTGACCGGTTACTGTTATACAGAGGCTACATTACATGCGCTTGCCGTTGTTTGTTCTCCTCGCATCTCATTTGTATCGTGCCACAGCAGCAACGCTTATTACTCGAGGCGCCTTGCAAAATTTTTCCGCAGATAACTGTTCCGCTAAAGGCGTAAAGACGAGCCATTGCTGTAAATCAAGCCACTGGCTACATAACATGTGTTTACATATTTGCGAATATACTCTTGAGGTATACTTGCTCGGAACAATTTTTCACGCCACACGTCGCTGTAGAATTAATTTATCATTGTGATCATTATAATATTTGTGTGCGAATTATTTCATGTGTATGCGGCTACTCGCGTCGTTCATTAACGGCTCGGATCTTAATTGACTCGTTGTAATTTCAGCATCGAATACAGTTCGACGACACCGCGACTCGTACTTTCGAGTATCCCAGTGAAGCATCGATCCTCGAAGGCGAGACCAGTAGTGTGGATGGCGAAACTTCCGGTTCCATCGAGCAACAGTCTACGCCGGGCAACAACAAAATTTCCTCGACACCCAGCTCGACGACGACAAGTATGCCGTCCCTTCTCGGTAAAATCAAACTTGAGTCTCGTTAAACTTGGCAAGATACTTTTGCAATTATTCCAATGCGTAAATGTAGTACTGTAATAATTAACGGTAAAAAAACAAGCTAAAAAGATATAATTGCAGATTATTATATCTGTATCATCAATATTCCAGAAATATGCTATCTTTTCTTTTACATATATGTATTCAGATATTTTACACACATATACAATGATTTTTTTTTATATAATTCGATAGATAGAAAAGATAGAAACAGAGGATAGATAATATATTTATTACTTAATTGTTTGTAGGTGGTGGTGGATTAGCCAGTTACACACCCAGCAAGGTGGATCTGACGTCAGAAGGTTTTGAGCTGGGTATCAGTAGAGCCGTACCGATGATAGTTTCCGCGCCAACAGCAGCAACCGGGCAATCTGAAAATGCGAGCGACGTGGAATACTTGAGACCAGCTCAAGATGCAGGCGCATGGGGTTCAGAAACGACTGGGGATCTTCTTTATTGATGAGACAAAAGGAAGAAATGCAAACTACAAGCTTTAATAGCTACACCATTAACAGCTCAACGTGTCCCTCCGCAGCAATAGAATGAAAGAAACGAAAATGAAACTTATAAGACTTAAGAAGTATTTCCTTTTTTTTCTAGCGTCGACGAAAAATCGCGAAAAATCATAAATGCAAACATCAATGTTATATCGAAGTTTAATAAAAAGATATATGACAAATGCTCACACAACTATATAAAGCAAATTTTTCGTAGAAAACGAGTTAGACGTCGCGTTCGTGATCGGATGAACATACTGGACCACAAATGAGTTATCGTCAAATAATTAAGCTAGATGAACTTTTTTTTTCTCCGATTACGAAGAAAATCAAAAATGCGATCTCCGTTCATGAACGCTTCGAAAAGATATTGAAAAAGCCGAGGTTATTTAGATTAAGTAAAAACTAACAGTATCATTCCAAGTATATGCATTTACTTTGTATCATTACGCTATATCAAATGAATGGATTTTTCCTAAACAATGAATCATCGAAACTGCCAAGAAACATTAGGGCTGTCTCTTTTGAATAACACTCGAAAGAAAATGCTCAGTGATACTGATACTTTGTTGCATAGAGGAAAAAAATAAGAAAGAAAGCATATTATCTTTCTGGCATACTATATATGATAGAAAAGAAATCAACGGAAAAATCGAAAGTTTTGTAACCTTTTTGAGATTACTTTAATGTTAAGCTGTGAATGTTCAAGCTGCCAGTAAAAGGCCAGAGTTTTATGCGAAAGTTTTTGTAGAAAAAGAGGTAAACGATTGAATGTGTTAGAGATTCAATGAGAGGGAAAAGAAGTTCGAGAGAAACATTTCGAGTTTAGGTTTGTAACATTTTTGCCAAAGTAGAACGTAAGTCTACTTAGTATATTTAATAATATATATGTATAATAAGTGTTTCACAGAGTTCGGCAAAACTGTAAGAATTGTAAATTTTAAAACATCGTCATTTGTACCGAATATATCGCAAATCATACTGTAAGTATGCCTTGCAAGTAAGATAAGCCATTACAACATATGTGTTTTTCATATTTTGAGGTTGCATTTATTTTTCAAGTATATATAATACATGAAACTAGTAGCTTTCTCCAGCATAGGAAGCATATAAGAGAGAAAACGACAGTTTAATATTAATTGTTAATTTTAAGCGATTGAATTTTGTATATATTAAATTGTTATGCGGGTCTTAAAGAGCCATCTGAGATAAGTCACGAAAAATTCGAGATAAAAGAAAAATTACATTGCTTTAAGATCAGCTTTCTTGTATTATCTTTGTTTTTGTATTAATTTCTTTCTATTATCTGTTGTATCGTCTCAGATGCGTTACCACAAATATTCGAAAATTGTTTTGAATCATATAGGTGTTAAATTTTCGTGTAATTATTTAATAATGTATGATTGTAGCAATATATGTAATTAATATGATTATAATTTTATCACTTGGACAGTGAACTAATTGAAGCAAAAAAAGTCCATAAGAAAATAATTTATTACGAAGATGTATTAAGTATTACGAAGTTATATGAAGTAAAACTGCTGCCGCGTTTTGTTAAAATTCCAATTATATTTACTCTTTAGATGTACCAATTTATCAAATTCTTTGCAATGTATTACATTGTTTAAAAGACCTGTTCTTGTGTCACAGCGTTGTATCTTACATTGTGATATTTTTGTTAATTTTTCTTAGTATAAAATATATATGATTCCCATTTTTTTGTCAGACAGCAATGTGCAAGTCGTCAATATTCTTTGTATATCTCATTGTTATATGAGAACATTGCAAGGAGGGAATAAAAAGATTACATTTGCGCAACATTCCAAATTCAAATCATATATGTATAAGTATTTTTCTTTTTCAAATTTGTCAATTTTGTTTAACAGTTTTGTAAATTACCATTGTACAGTATCACAAGATACCATGTTTCGAGTAAACGATAATAAGCAGAAACAATTGTGAGGTAACTATTAATAATTGAGAGAAGTTTAGATATGTATATATATATATCTCTATCTCTCTCCTCTATATATATATATATATTACTACCTTTTTAAATATACTTATCATGTAAAAGTATCGTGTGATGTACTGTCTGTGTGTTACTAAATATCAAAGTAATAAAAGAGACAATTACTCCTTACTCAGGACTTGTCTACAACTCTCCGCAAGATTAAAAGGATGCGTAAAGAGGACATGTTATAGAAAATTAATTTTATTTATTTAAATATGCAATATGCACATGTATGTTTAAAAAAGAGTTAAGATATTAATGATTTCATTTGTACAAGTTGATAAACCACTTTAACGAATCGTGATTCAAATTATAACACAGTCTCATATATATTACAAAATTCTAAACTAATGTTATTTATATATCGAAGTATAATATTCCTCTTCCAAATCATACAAATCCGCAGCCATGTCGTCCCTCAGAGATGCCAATTTTTGATCACATTCCACTTGTTTAGTCCTAAATAACTTGCCATTTTGTATTATGGCGTCGTTTACAGAGGGGAAATCATTCAGGATTAAATACTGCTTTATATCGGAGACTAGTTTCATTAACGATTCGCCAGCGCGCACAATATTGGCCGCTCTGACATGCATCTCGTATGTGTCTTGTTCGCATTGTGTCATCCGAGATAGTTGTGAGTCATTTTCTCCTTTCGCGAGTTTAATTATTTCTGGAAATAAAACAAAAACGGATTAAAATTATGAAGACAAAAACAGTATAATTGTTAGAGATTCAATATTATGTTACATAAATCCTTCTCTCTTTCCAAATTCCAAAACAATTTTATTAATAGACTTCTTAAGTAAAAGTCATGTTTATTATACATGATTATTGAATTATACTAAACACTATGATATGAACTTAATATTGCAAGAAAATTATATACATATTTTATCATATTTATTAAGAAATTTTGTAACTTTTATAGTACAGTTTACAGTAATAAGAATAATTACTTCACTTTATTTATTATATATATATTTATATGTATTTCTCAAGTGTTCATTCATTGTTTAATATAGATTGAACATTTTTGTCTCAAATCACTCAACATTTCAAAACCTTCAACTTGTTTATCATTATGTCACATCCACTGATCGAGAATAATCAAAATTAATTATCAAAATTCAAATTTTGAATTTAAATAAAAAACTCCTAAATTTTTTTAACTTTTAACTAAAGATCACAATCAAAATTATCAAAGTACGATAATTATAGAAAATGAAAACAATAAGAACAAAGTCGGAGGATGAACATATATAATATTTTTATCATTTTTGCAGGACGATTTTGATCTATAAAACTATATCCGTATATTGTGAAACGCGCTGTAAATTAGATTAAAATTAAATCAAGAAACATATGATTTAAATAAAAATTCAGATTATATTAAAACATGAGAAATGCAGGTTAGGATATTTGTGAATATAGGTTAAAGTACCTTCGAAGTTTTCTAGCATCGACTTCACATCGTCCTTCAACCTTGTCATGTACGATTTCAATAAAGCTTCTTTACTTTGTGGAAGCGCACGTTGCGTGGCCATTTCTCTCGCAAGAGCGATAACTAAAATACGTATAGAATATTATTTGTATCACGCCGCGACGTTTTATACACGGACGCGTCGGCCATTTTGAGAGAATCAGCTGATGAATTTTATATCGCTTGCGCAAATCTGACGTAGGTATTCACAATACTTTGACGTCTCATTTCTTACCCTTCGTCAGAGCCTTCGTCAATCAATCACGTTTCTTTCTGTAGGGGTAAAGAAACCTTGACTGTCCAGATATATCCCACATATTTTCCGAGCACGTGATCTGGAAAAGAAGAATCTTTCAAAAAATATTAATAAAAAAGTAAGAAAGAAATTTTATTTGTATCCGTACTCGAATTTTACCCGCGTCATATTGATTTTCGCGCGAAAGCGAGCGCCGTTTATTTCGCGAAGTCGTCATCTCCCCCTCTCCCGCCCTCTATCCAGCCCCACTCGCGAGGCCGTCCAGGGTTGGCAATCAATATGAATACGCCCGCGAAGCGCGCCCGTCGCTGAATTGTTCACTCGCACGCGAGAATCCCGGCCACGCGAGAGTCGCGCGGGAAGCGTATCCGTTGCGCGAAATCGCGAGCGTCATCTCCGCTTTCCGCAGCCACGGAGGATCGAATCGGGGTCGGTACTCCCCCTCCCCCCTCCACCCTCTTCTCCAATATATTTCCCAAAAGGGTGGCCGATCCCGTTGTACGCGAAACTCGCGCGACGTAACGCGAACGGGGGTGGTCACGCTGAGCGTGACAGTTTCTAATTCCTCCTCGGCGGTTTCCGACCTTGGGCGAAGAATCGCAAGCAGGGAGAGAGAGCATCGCGAAAGAACCGTATCGCGTTGGCAACGTGGAGGTCCTTTTGAATCGGTCGAGGAATTCAAGAAAGAGAACGACATCGGAAGCTTGACTTTCAAGACCGAGGAGGAGGTGTGTCGAGAAGTAGGATAAGGACGGAGAAGAGTGTGACGTTCGCACGAAGACAGATTCGCGAAGGTCGAACGCGCACGTAACGCAGGATCGCGAAGTCAAAGAGAGAGAGAATAAGAAAGAGAGAGAGAGAGAGAGTTCGATTAGTCGGACGACGAGGTCAATCGGAGAACGATGGCAGTGAGCGCTTTCTCGACGGCATTGCCTACCACCGATTTTGCCACTACGTGTCCCACTACACCCGGTATGTCGTAGGAGAAAAAGAAAGAGAGAGAGAGAGAGGAACGTACGGTTTTAGCGAGACGCTGCTGGCGGAATGGCGAGCGGTTTTCTTCGGCAATGCACGATGTTGTTGGGCTTAATTGTAATTTTAATGGCAGCGCTCTGGACCGAGGCGTCGCTTCCGCCCGAAGACGAGGATGAGAACGTCCTGCACATTGGCGGTATCTTCCCCATCGGCGGTGAGGGCGGCTGGCAAGGCGGCCAGGTGAGAATGATTAATTCTTCTTTCATCTCGGAGTCGCGAAAACTAAGAATATTACGTGGAAGTGACGTAACGTTGATCGAACTTGATCACGGTTGTCTTGAAATATTTTTTAACACCCTTTACAAAGTTTTAGGTGAAAAAGAGGAAATGTAAAGATATATTACAATTTTTGAAATGTTTTTTTTTTAATGAAATTTTAATCGGAAGTTGAATAATACTCTGTTGAAATAGAAACAAAATATTAATTTTGTTTCTATTTCAACAGAGTATTATTCAACTTTCGATAAAAATTTCATAAAAAAATATATTTAACAAATAATAAAAAGATATATTTAATACTACATCAATCACACAATGTGTGTATGTGATAACATCAATAATTGGCGGTGAAATTAATAATTCTATTGTTCCGGAATTTTACGCTCGCACAAACTTATCTCTTTTGCTATCATTTCACAGTAATATCATTAGATTTGTTAAAAATTATAACGTGTTCTATTGTTCAGACTTCCGTAAATGCAAAGAAGAATGATTATTACGTCATTGTATCTTGTAATTGTCCGTATTTCCGCTTATCTTCTATCTTTTACTTCTCTCGAATTGTTCGATATCCTGTGACATTGGTAACACGAATAAATTCTCGTCAAACTTTGCAAACTGCTTCGAAACTCTGGGATCAGATTCTAAAGTTCATGTAATGACATAAACAAGTTTATCAGTAGACTAATTTTTCTTTACGTTGAATCCCAAAGTCCAACATGCAAAGTGTTTTTAAAATATCAAAAATTTTTATAGAGAATGAAAAGCGAAATTTCTTTAGTAAATTTAGCAATGCGCGTGCATATTTTTTTTCTGAAATATTATTATTTGAGAACTGCAGTAACGTGCCGAGAAAATTCTATAAAACATTAGCAATACTTAAATAAACAAACATATTTTTAAAAGATTGGAAATGTCTACTTTACAGCATTATATTCTGAATTCTTCCACGATAATCAGTTTGTATTTATATTTAATTCTTGCTTTATATTTAAACATTAAAAATACAATGTAATTTATAATAATAACTAATTTTTTATATTATTTATGCATCGTTATATATAATAGATAATATAAAATAAAAAAATCATAGTAAATTTTTTTCCATAAATGCGATAAAAAAATTATACGCGACGTAATAAATCATTGACGGCTCAAAAGATCGGAGAGGTTTATCTATTTTTGATAGCATTTTATGGTTGTATATAATTTCTATAATGCATTTTTTTCTACAAGCATATACGAAGAAATTTAATAAACTATGACGCCATCATTTATTCAGACATAATATGCTTAAAAGTATTGTATATTTCCAATTTTACAAATAGTTTTTTGATTGTTTATGTTATTGTAATAAAATCTAACATTTCTTTCGTATAACTGTTATAAATATTCATTCTCTAATTGTGTCTTTCAAAGTGAAGAAATAGCATTTCTTGTGGAACTTTTAGCCCGTAAATGATGTATATTTATTGAACGGCACCGCTTCTGACTCTGCATGCAAACTTAAACTCATTAAATTAGGGGGTTAATCAAGCTGAATTGCATTATCATTTATTCAACAGGCTTGCATGCCAGCTGCGCACCTGGCCTTAGAAGACGTTAATCGCGAAAAGAACTTGTTACGCGGATATAGACTGCACCTTCATTCCAACGATAGCGAGGTAAATTCACGAAGATGTATTTAATGGCATTATAATGGCGGATTATGCCCCCCCCCCCCGACCTCTTCTTTTTTTGCGCCGGTTGGCGCGATGAAATTACCTTTGTAATTTATTGCATTTCGCTTCCAGTGCGAACCCGGTCTTGGCGCATCCGTGATGTACAACTTACTGTACTTTCCACCCTATAAATTAATGCTGTTAGCCGGTTGCAGCACGGTCTGTACTACGGTCGCTGAGGCAGCCAAGATGTGGAATTTAGTAGTGGTGAGTGTCTTCGTTCACAGACTTATTTTTCGGAGAAAAGCGAGAGACGAATCGGATTTTTTCTTCTTTTTTTTTTTTTCATCGCAAATTAAATTCGGCACGCAAATACAAATGGAAATGCGCGAGAAACACGGCTGAAACACATTTTCTTAGCTTTGTTACGGTGCGTCGTCGCCAGCGTTGTCCGACCGAAATCGATTCCCGACCCTCTTCAGGACACATCCTTCCGCCACCGTACACAATCCCACGAGAATCAAATTGTTGCAAAAGTTTGGCTGGTCTCGAGTAGCGATATTACAGCAAGCCGAAGAAGTGTTCATATCGGTAAGAATATCACGTTAATGAAGCTTCGTTTGTCTTTAAATCCTTGTCTAGATATCTTTTACAAAAAATATACCCCATGTGCTTCTCAAAAATAAGTGAAATTTAAATCAAAGCTTTATAATAAAAAGCTGTATTTTTTATAATAAATGTTTTTATTATGTAAGTTTATTATTTTTTATAATAAATTTTTTATATGATGTGAATATGAATTTGACTCATCATAGACCGTCGAAGATCTAGAAGCTCGGTGTAAAGAAGCTGGGATAGAGATAGTCACCCGTCAGAGTTTCTTGTCAGATCCGACGGATGCGGTGAAGAATTTACGTCGTCAAGACGCGCGGATAGTAGTCGGATTGTTCTACGTGGTCGCCGCGAGGCGAGTACTATGCGAGCTCTATCATCAGAAGTTGTACGGCAAGACATACGTGTGGTTCTTTATTGGCTGGTACGAGGACGACTGGTTCGAGATCAATCTGGAGAAAGAGGGTATCACCTGCACGAGGGAGCAGATGCGTCAGGCAGCGGAGGGGCATCTGACCACCGAGGCGCTCATGTGGAATCAGAACAACGACACGACAATCAGTGGTATGACGGCCGAGGACTTCCGAAAGAGATTGAACAAACAGTTGAAGGATGAGGGTTACGATATAGACAACAATCGATATCCGGAAGGATACCAGGAGGCGCCCCTTGCCTATGACGCGGTCTGGTCCGTTGCATTAGGTGAGTTTCTCGAATTGTTAGCAAATCCAAGTGATCGCAATAATCGCTTTATTGTTTTTTCTCCTTTCTTCTCTTCCGTCTCTACCGTCAGCATTTAATAGAACCATGGAAAGACTAAACAAAATGGGAAAGAGCTTGAAGAACTTTACTTATGATAACAAAGAGATTGCCGATGAGATATACGCGGCGGTAAACTCGACCCAGTTTCTCGGTGTTTCCGTATGTAAAACTTGCTACAGCTTGAAAATTGCTTCGTTCGTTTGACAACAGCGCAATTTCTAAATTTGGATCTTCTTTTCTGCAGGGATACGTCGCTTTCAGCTCGCAGGGCGACAGAATCGCTCTGACGCAGATCGAGCAAGTGATCGACGGAAAGTACGTCAAGTTAGGATACTATGATACACAAAGCGACAATCTGACATGGCGAAACGTAGAGCGATGGATCGGCGGGAAGGTGCCGCAAGACAGAACGATAATAAGAACCGTTTTGAGAACGGTGTCACTGCCCTTATTCATAAGTATGGCGACCTTGTCGGCGCTCGGTATCGCGATAGCCATCGGATTGATCGTGTTTAACGTCTATAATAGACACCGGAGGTATACTATATTCTACTATGTTCTACTATATATATATGTGTATATATATGTATACTTCAACGCGTGTTTCGCATTCGTTAATACGTTATTCAACATATACTGCGGACCGACCCACACAGTCTACTACAATCGATAGATACAATGTCTACTTTCCAGAGTTATACATTCGTCTCATCCCACCGCCAACACGATAATGCTAATGGGAATAATAGGCTGCTTCTTGGCCGTGTTGTGCATAGGGATTGACGGTAGGTTCGTGACGCCTTGGCAGTTTTTGATAATTTGTCAAGCTAGAGCGTGGACGATGTCAATTGGCTTCACTCTTGCATTCGGCGCCATGTTTAGTAAAGTTTGGAGGGTCCATCGACTCTCTACAAAGGCTAAAGCTGATCAGGGAAAAGTAAGTTGTAAACTAGTCGCGAGTTACTACGTCAAGTCTCTTAATTGGCAAAGTGGTACGAGTAGAGCTTTACATCGCTTGTAGTATCGCGAGATATGTATCGCAATATATTCCAAAAACATTCTACATGCTTTTTAATATCCTTTTTCGCCAAATTCTTGCAATCGTACCGCTTTTGCTTCTCGTTTTCCTCATTAGTAACGAGACTGATTTCTAGTTTTTTCACGAAGATAGAACCATCCTGCATGGTTTGCTGTTCCCGCATCTGTATGTCCCGTATCTTTAACCTATTCTCGATTCCTTTTAGTCATTGACGGCTAAACAAAAAGTTTCGTCTATACAGAAGAAGATTGAGCCGTGGAAGCTGTACGTTATGCTGAGCGGATTGCTGTCAGTGGATATCATCCTCCTCGTCACTTGGCAGATGGTTGATCCGTTACATAGAAGAATCGAGACCTTTTTACTGGAGTTGCCTCCTTATGGAGACGAGGATGCAATGATCAAGCCTGAATTGGAACACTGCGAGAGCGAGCACAATAGTTTGTGGCTCGGTGAGTAAATACATTGTGATTTGCAAGAAGAAATATGTGTCGGGAAATAAATTATGCGCGCGAATTGATGTAATTCCATTACGATGTAAATACCAAGATTGAGAATATTTTTCCAGGCTTGATTTACGGCTACAAAGGCATTGTTTTAGCTTTCGGACTCTTTCTGTCTTACGAGACGAGAAGCATCAAAATCAAACTGATCAACGATTCTAGATACGTGGGCATGTCAATATATAATATCGTAGTTCTATGTCTCATAACGGTACCCGTGGTAATGGTCATCTCTAGTCAGCAGGACGCGAGTTACGCCTTCTCGGCGCTAGCTACTATCTTTTGTTGCTTCCTCAGCATGGCGCTCATCTTTGTGCCGAAGGTGATCGAGGTGATTAGGCATCCTAAAGACAAGTCTGAGTCAAGATATAATCCGGACGGCGCGGTGTCCAAGGAGGATGAAGAAAAGTATCAGAAACTACTCAACGAAAACGATGAGCTTCAAAAACTTATCGCCGCAGTAAGAATACGATACGATGTTGACGATCTTATCGATTATTATGCGTAATGTAAGTCGCGTATTCTTGTCTGTATATTTCAGAAGGAGGAAAAAATTCAAGCCATCAAGCAGAAGCTAGCCGAACGCGATGCCCTGAAGGGAACCGGCACAACGAGTCGTTGCAGGCAAGGTCAACCCAAACAATCCTTCATCGTTACCGACTATCCGACTGGCGAGGGAACATCGGACAGTGCTATCGGTGGGGGTATTTCCATTTGTACAAAATCCTCTCGCGCTTCCGCTTCTGATGTTGAGTTTTCAGAGACGTACTTATAATCTCTACGCAAATACGAGTAAAATCATGCCGTTGCCGGACATCTTTTCGCCTGACCGCGCGATACATTTGGGACCTAAAGTTCTTTTTACTCAATCTCTCGGTGATTATCGTTACGCTTCGCTTTTAAAGCTTTGTGATATTTCCAATTTATTATTTGTCGTAAGTATCGATGGGTACGTACTTTTGCGTTTCTTCATAATGCACTGACGGAACAAAGTCTTGTTGCGAATGACCAGAACGGTATATCGCAACTTGACAATGAAATATCGATTATATTTGCACAATGAAATAAAAAAAGAAAACGATGGAACAATAAAAGAGCACGTATCTTTTTTTACGCAATTTGCGCACAATAAATTGTATTGTGTTGTGTTATGTTTATTGATACGGTTACGCGCAATGAATAACAAAAAGTAATCTATTAATATAATAATGAAATTATAACGAGGGAAATGTTAATGTGATAAATGTTAGTTCTTCGGCTAATTGTTTAGAGAATTTTTTCAATAGATAATGCGACTCATATATTATGTCGCTTTTGTAAGAACGTACATTATTCTCTTTCGTAGTTTTAGTATATATCTTTAAATGTTAAATACGCAAATGTCATTATCAATTAATAGAGAACTAGTAACTCTTTCATCTAATAAACAAATTAGTAATTTTGCGCTAATATCTAAATAAGCGAGAAGTACACACAATCGGATAAAATCAGGCCTATATTATGTGAAAGGTGGCCCTATCTTTTTGATGACACACACAATGAATGTGTTCTTTTTTTCTATAGTTACATGTTATATTTATACATAGCCCATTTTCACCGTTTAAAAATTTAACTGTTTTGTAGAGACAGATATATCCAATATTGAATGTTTGTGAGAGAGTTTATCAAGTGCATTTTTCAGCACTGTGAGAAAGTATTCAACCAGATTCTTAGCGTAATACAATCTTATCCTATGGACCAAGTTATCCCTATTCCAAGTTATGGAATAACGTTTTCAGGGACAGAGATCTTGAGTATTTTATATATATCTTAACTTTTAACTTTTATCAAGAGAGAAAATATATGCTTGGGCGGAGAAAACATAATGAATGAAGCTTTCTAAACCGTTGAATTATTAGAAGTTACTTTGATATTTTTTTAAATTTAATAATATAAATATTTTAAATAGAATTATATACGAGATAAGAACGCGAAACGTTGTTTGTTTGAACGATAAATTCTTTGTATCTGAAGCAAAATCGTCACAAAAACACATACACACATTGTTTCTAAATGAAAATAGAAAAACTAAAGCTATATTCTTCTTACACCGGGTACGTTCTCTCGTGCAACTATTTTTCTCTTGTAGAAGTATTTAAAGTATTTCAAACAAGATAATAAAAAAAGAATATAAAGATATTTTAAAACGCACAATATATATAATTACGATATGCATGTGTTAATTGGAATAAAAACAGATTGATCATTAACCCGGTATAAATACTGCAGAAATTGTATCTACCTGGCTCTTAGGATGATGTTTATAATATGCTTATTATTTGTTGCAGAGCACATATATACACAAAGTACTTTAATGTTTACGTTAGGCCTAAAATAATCTTTATGATTATACGTGGCTCAATTATTGCAGTTAAATCTCGTTAGAAAAGTGTCGTGTTAATTGTATCAAATATCGTATCAAATTGTGAACCTCATGAAGCGCACTCCCAAATTTGAAAACACTATCTATCAAAACCCAATTTGTAATTCGGTCCCAATCTGATTAATACATTTGTACCATAAATACGAAATGTGTGTACTAACGAGATTTAAATGCCTACAAAGTTTATGCGTTTGTTTATAATTTGGGAGTCTTGATGAGGTAAAGTCGTATACATTATTGTTTAGTATATAGTAAGTTTGTCTCTCGGAATACGCGCTTGTTAATTTTTGATTAATTCTTTTACCGGAATGAGATTATTTCCGATCCTTAGAGATTAAAAAGATGTATACATGCGTATATACATTCCCGACTTCCAAATCATTTACGGACGGATCAACAATTATATCTATGAGAGAGTTTGCTTGAAAGAGAAAGAGAGAGATTTATGGTATTTGACTTTCTGTTTTTAGGCACGCAGCACGTCGCCGAAATGTATGAACTGCACCGACTATGATGCCAAAGCAATACACACACAAATGAGCGCTACGCTTGCGACAAAACTCTCTTCTAAAACTAGTATTAAACCTACGTGCACGGTCAATATGCGAATTATATATATATACATGAAAAATGAATCTCGGATAAAAAGAAACCGCCAAAAGCCAAGGATGCGCGAGATGTGATTTCGCGACGATGAAAAACGATTGTCACGTACCTAAAGTGTAAGTTAGTTTATAGCGCGTGTGGAATTGTTTTATATGTTTCGATACGGTATAAATACACGATTCGATTGCGCCTTAGAGAAAAAAAGTCGAGAAGAGGAAAGAGAAACAGTACTCCGTAAAACCTGTCGTCGCGTACACCCCGTAAATCTCGTATGTATATAGACGAAGTTTTTAATCGAGTGTAATTTCTCGTTTACTGTATCCACCCACGCGCCCTCCCTCTTTCTTCTGCCCTCCCTATACCTATGCAGTATTTTTTACTGTACTCATTTGATCAACTGCCGCGCAAACGGCGCTTTCAAATCTAGCATTATATATATATGTATACATATATATATATATATATATACATGTACGATAGTCCTATCGAACTGTTGACGAAAGTATCACATATATGTACGTTAGATATTATGGAGAGATATTTATTTTTAAGTTTTTGAATTATAAAAATTCGTTAAAAATATCGAAGGCTCTATCTATTATTGAACCCTGAGATTGTTTACGATTAAGAAAAACTCATGCAACGATGTAACGCCAACGTTCATATATACATATATATATATAAAAATATGATGTATAAAATGATGATGCGCTTCGCAGAATCCGCTCGCGGATTCCCCCCCGAGCAACTTGGCTTTCTCGCTCGACGAAACGATTTTCGCTCTATATATCGGTGGGGCCTCGCGAAGAGGTAGGTAGGTTAGAAGGCAGATGCATATATATATATATATATATATCTACGTTGTTTATAGAGCTGGGATTTTAATAAAGAAACTTGAAAAGAAGAGAGAAGTTAATATCAATATACACTTTGTGATGCATATACATTATATATTCGATTAAAGAGAATTAGCGCGCGTGAATATTAATAAAAGAGAAATGCATATATATAATTTAATATGCATATATTAGAGTGTATACATTGCGGATGTTATATATATTAAAATACATGATATAAATACCGAATCAAAAGTAAAGGATTATAGTAAAAAGAGTTGTTAAATAAATACGTGGTCCATTTTTTTGAACCGTCAGCCAGACATGCATTCGGAATTTGTAATGTCGCGCAGATCTTTTGCGCAGGCCTCTCTGAATCTCCCGCCCACGCTCGGTTGCGTTCGTAAAATGTACGCGACAAAGTTGAGTGTGGAATCGATTGACCAATCGGTACAGAGAGAGCAAAGATTCCCTCGTCCCGATTGGTCGGGACAAACGATACTTCGTTCGACGAGTCGATTCTTCGAACGCGACTCTTGTCACACGTGTGACGGCCATGTTGCAGCTTGCCGCGAACTGTCGTCGACGACGCGACGCGTTGTTTTAACCTACGTTTATTAAGCCGCGAAAAATCGAAATGTCATTCGGCAGCGGCTTCGGAACGTCCACGTCGACGCCCGCACCCACGTTCGCCTTCGGCAACACGCCGGCTTCCACGGCGACGCCGGTTAAGCCTGGTAAGTCATCCTGTTATTCGAGTGGGAAAATCGCAATCTCTTCGCCGTCTCCTTTTCTCACTCGCAAAAATGTCTATCTGTTTCTATAAATGTTATAAATATTTTGCGACAATCTCGAGATTGAGAATGTGGCTCTCTTCAATTCTTCGTGGAATTATCGCTGGTTCTAGTGGTATCGGAGGTCTTGTTTATCCTGTCTGAACCTAGCAAGGGCTGATTCACGCCACTACATCCCGGATCGCATTCCATGTCGCTTTTTGCGAAGAAAGCGTGCCTACTCCTGGATCTTGCGATTATGCACGCTGTGATGCAGCACATAAATAGTATGATTAAGAGCGCAGTCAGCAAAATAATTAGCAGTGTCGAGCGTTCTGTATATTCGTCATATTTAACAGTTTCGATTGGAGCCAATGTGGTGAGATTGTTATCAAGTGTCATGTGTAACTCGCTGTCGGAAATAGCAGTTTTGCTGCTGGAAGTTGTGTCCTCCAAATAATACATTTCATTTGGTATTTTTCCAAGTGTTGTTATCATAATTTCTGCAGTTGCATCCTGTATAAAGATAATTTAATTAAATTATCACAAAGTAATGTAATTATACATAAAGAGAGAAGGAATAAGATTATATTATTACAAGGGATTATATTATTACATATATACCCCAATTACTATATCTGTAGTACCAAGTTCGTTTACAATTTGGGTAGAAGAGTCGTGTATCGATTTAATGCGACGGAAAAGGATATTAGTGCTAGATATAGAACCTAGCTTCAACGAATTATGCGCTAGTTGTGCATAAAAACTAGTCTGTTAATGATTTTAAAAAATGCACATTATATTAATACACATACATTATATTAAACTGTATTTTATTAATAAAGTAAAAGAATAGACTCAAATCATATTTCTAAGTTTGCTTTGTACGATAGCTTACTCTTTTACTGTTAAATATTTACCTGCATTTCATTCTGATGACTTAGAAATGTCATTTTTCACTTTATAACTTTATATTTTTTACATAACTGTGTATGTTATTATGAGATTGACTGAATTTTCATATATTGAAATTTTATTAGATATTTATATTAGTATAGAAATAAATGTGTTCATACAATATCTTTCAATGTATATATATTTAAAATTGTTACCATAAAATAAGTAACAAATAAAAGCAAATACCTTTTACATTGACATGTTTTATCTAACTTCATATCAAACAAAAGAAAATAGGTTTGATATTCATTGTTATATTTAAAAACTCAGATAATATCATATTGCTTAGTACTTACTGGTATAGTGATCTCCATTACAATCTGATAATTCAAATTTATCAGATTGTAAATTTAAGTATATTGATATAATTTTTATATTTTGTAATATATATAATCAAATAGAAAATTAATTTAAATTTACATACAATTTTTCTTTATGACTTATATCATAAAGAATAAATTTGTAACTCAAGTTACAAAAATTCTTTTTCTTTTTTTAAGAAAAATTTTAATGTCTGTTTTTGCTGAAAGCGCACTAATCTGTATTAAAATTTTTAAGTGGCAGGATTTGGAACACCCTCATTCGGATTTAGTACACCAACTACTTCGACGCCGAGTTTGTTTGGTACCCCATCAACTCAGACTACTGGATTTGGTACTGGAACAGGATTTGGTACTCCAGCAGCTACAGGATTCGGTGGCACGTCGACCACAGGTTTTGGATCCGCTCCTACATTTGGTAGCACATCAACCAGTGCCTTTGGTTCAGCGCCAGCTTTTGGGAGTACTCCCGCTTCTTCCGCAACCACTGGGTTTGGTACAACTTCGACTTTTGGCAGTGCCCCAGCCTCTACAACTGGTTTCGGTGGATTTGGAACAGCGACGACAACATCGTCATTGAGTTTCGGAAGTTTCGGAGGATTTGGGACAACTACTACTACATCTGCCCCTAGCTTATTTGGTGGATTCGGTACTACAAGTATTCCCTCAACCGGTTTTGGCACATCCACAGGTTTTGGTACATTTGGAAGCAAGCCAGCCACCACCAGTGGTACGCCTGGATTTGGTGGATTTGGGACAGGTAATTTGTTATAGATTGATACCTTTTATGCTACAATATTATTCGCCAACATGTATATTTATATTATACACACACAAATAGGATTTACTGGATTTGGTACTGGACTAACACAGCCTCAGCAGCAACAACAAAATCAACAACAACAACAACCTGCAAATAATATATCAGAAGCTCTCTATAATGCTGTGTTCAATTGTCAATTGTACAATGACGAGCGAGACAATACTATTGCCAGGTGGAATCTTATTCAAGCATTATGGGGTACAGGAAAGGCTTATTATTCTGTAAATGCCCCACCTATAGATCTTACTCAAGAAAATTCATTGTGCAGATTCAAAGCCATCGGATATAGTCGTATACCCGATGCTGATAACAATGATGGTTTAGTGGTGTTGTGTTTCAATAAAAAAGAAAAAGACGTACAGGATGGCAAACAACAATTAATTGTATTCCTGAGTGGTTTGCTAGGGAATAAGCCCAATCTAACAGTAACTGTTGACAATATTAAATCCACGGGAGAAAATAAGAGTCAAGTGACAATATATGTATCGGAAAAAGGAATTACTGGCTCTTACAGAAAAATTCCTGCCAATGAATTGGTCGCGTATCTATCGCAGATGATGCAAAAGCAACAGCTGCTACAAAATGGGGTTGAAGATATATTTCCACTGATGAAACTCGATCCGTCGCAGCTAAAAGAATATCTAGATAATCCACCTTGCGCTATCGATGCCAGATTATGGAAGCAAGCACAGTTGGACAATCCCAATCCAGAATTGTATATTCCAGTTCCTATGATTGGTTTTCAGCAAGTTAAACATAGATTGAAATGTCAAGAAGAGGAGACTGCTAGACACAGAGCGTTCTTAGATATGGCAGCAGAAAAAATACAAGGCTTGCAGAGACAGCATACAGCTACGCAGGCCCGCCTCAAGGAACATAGACGTACATTATTAGAACTTCAACATCGAGTTCTACAGGTATAATGGCGATTAATCATTGTTCATTAATTGTGTAGCCATGTATGACGTTTTCGTCTGTTAACTACAAATTCTACTTCTAAAGGTACTAGTTCGACAAGAAATTACGCGCAAAGTTGGATTAGCCTTACAACCAGAAGAAGAAGTTTTAACACGTAGATTTGAAGCAATGCATTCGCAAATCAGTGCTCCAACACAATATAAAGGTAGAATTAGCGAGATGCTTTCTCAGCTTAGAATGAGGCGGCATATCGATATTCAAAATCAGGAAAGATATACAATGGACCCCATAGCTCAAGATGATATTAAAGCGGTAAGAGAATATTCTTTATTTTTAACAGGGATTATCAAATAGTATAGAGGCATAATAATTTGTTTCTATTATTTTAGTACCTGAGTATGGAACAACAGGGCATGGCACAACTTATTGCAACAATAAATACCGATTTAGAAAGCTTAAAAATTATCAAAGATGGAATGTCGGATCTTTTAATGAGCCAAAGTATATCCTGAGGATTGTAATGTATAATAAAACTTTTTCACATGCCTTCCATACAGATAAGAATTAATGTTTTGTCAACATTATCAATGATATGATTAATATATAAATTATAATATCTTTCACAAAATTGTGCCATATTTATTTCATTTATGCAAATTCTACAATTCTTTTGTACTTGAAAGTTGACATGTCAATGAATTTTGCCTATTTAATGATTTCGGCAGTTTAATGATGTTTGTCTGCGTATTATGCAAAAAATTATATTGTTTAATGTTTCTTATTTTATTTCATATATTTTGCATATATTTTTATATTTTGTAACATACGTTGCAAATAAAAAAAGTATGCATAAAGCATATTGCATAAAATAAAGGATAAAACAAAATATGCATTGTGTAGATAAATAAATGAATGATTTAATAAATATACAAAACATAGATATCATAAAAGAATATGTTTCACAGTGTGCATCATAAATAGAAAATTTACAAATTTTGTGTGTTACATATTTATCATAGTTTCATACTCTCTGAATTTTTAAATCAGAGTGAAAAACTTTGAAGTTTTATAAAATATGTTATATTATTATCCCTGTGTATGTTTATGTTTATGACGAGTTAACCTTTCCAGTAGATAAAATCGAAATATATCAAAATTATGACTATTACAAATAGAGTGATAAGCTATTTACAATTTTCGTTATTTTCTATTACATCAAATGCTTTACATGTATTTTTCGTTGGTGATAAAGATTTATTGTGAGCATCTTGGCCTATGGTCATTTTTAATAATTTTAGAACTGATTTCTTATCCGTATTATCACTTTCTATGAACAGAAATAAATCTTGTTAATATTTTCGCAACTATAAAAGTGTAATACTTGTACTTTTACGTCTTGCTCTTACCTTCGTTTCCAGTAATTTGTTGTTCAAGATGCAATTTTTCTTGAGCTATTTCATACATGTTTTCTTCTATTGTGCCTTCGCTTAATAATCTAATTATCGTAACTGGTCTGTAAAAAAATTCAGAATCCTTTTAACAAATTCGTTTTAATGAACGATAAAACGTGTATATTTTATTCCAACTTAAATGTACTTTGATCATATATGATACATACTTTTTTTGCCCAACACGATGACATCGATCTTCTGCTTGCTTGTCATTGTAAGGATTGAAATCTATGTCATGAATTATAACAGTATCGGCAGCTGTTAAATTGATCCCCAAACCTCCAGCTCTTGTAGATAACAAAAATATGAATATATTTGCATCTTGTGTGTAATCGTTTATAAGAGTCTGTCTCTCAGTTACAGGTGTACTACCATCTAGCCTAATTTGAATGTTAAATTTATTAATAATTGAATTGAGATTAACATGCAATTTAAATCAATCTTATAGTTACTGCAAACCTTAGGAATGTGTGTCCTCTAATGGTCAAATATTCTTCAAGTATGTCTAATACCATAGTAAATTGGCTAAAGATAAGTACTCTATGACTGTCTCTTTTCAATTGTGGTAACAACTTGTCCAATTCTTTTAATTTACCAGCCTGAGGGATAAGTTCCTGGGGTAAACCGAAACCAGCTACACTTTTGTACATACGTGTTAATTGATTTATTTGGTAATCAGATGTCCAAATCAATTCTTCAAAGACATACTCTGGATTCTTCTGTTTGTAACCTGGTTCTTTCACCAATCTGTTTGCTATAGCCTAATATGATACATTGATATAAATCAGAAACAAATTAAAAAAATAAAATCAGGTTGTTTTTTAGCCACATATATATATATAATAATAATAATAATAATAATAATAATAATAAATACCTCAAGTTTTTTCTCATTGTAATAATCGCGTACAAGAAGGGGATGATTGGCAAGCTTTCTCAATTGCATCATCAGACCAGTTCCATTCACTTCCGTAATTTCACTAGCCTCTGCTGAAAATTGTGCAACTAATTTATTATACATACTTTGCTGTTTCTCAATTAATGCACATCGTATGATTTCGTCTTTTTTATCAGGCAAATCACGTAGAACTTGATTTTTAAGTCGTCGAAGGACAAATGGTCGCATAATCTCCTTTGCGTTCTTAACTTGTTCTCTTTCGAATAACGGCTGCTCCCCGTTCTTTTTATCGCCTTTCTGAAAATTTCAGAATGTAAATGATATATTAGCTGATGAATACATGAATTACAATAATATAATAAATATATATGCGATTATGTATGTGTGACACATTTTTAATAATTATTTAATGACTTACAGAATTTTTGGAGAATAAGCTTTTTATATCTGCTTGTTTGCCAGCAAACAATGAAGGCATTACAAATATCAACAAAGACATTAATTCCAGTAAATTATTTTGTAGAGGTGTACCAGTCAATAAAATCCGATGTTTAGCCTTTAAAAGCAATTGAGATTTTGTTACAAAAATGATTTCCATATTTATGTGCATATATATACAGGATGCGGAAAAAATACCAGGACCCTAAAATATCTCGAAGGAAATAGGTTTTGGAAGAAAATGTTAAATACAAAAGTTTTTGGGTATTGAAAGAGCTATCTGACTGGTCAACTAGATTTTGGGCCCAATAAGATCTAAATGTTTGTCGGCTATGTCAGATGTAAAAATGTGTCCTGAACCTAAATCTGCAATAAAAAATATGGGTTTCTACTTGAAAAAATTGATTTAGCTTTACTGGGCCCAAACTAGACCCCGGGCCCAAAATCTAGTTGACCAGTCAGATAGCTCTTTCGATACCCAAAAACTTTTATATTTAATATTTTCCTCCAAAACCTATTCCCTTCGAGATATTTTAGAGTTCCGGTATTTTTTCCGCACCTATATAATAAATACATACGTTAATCCTGACGAGATTTTCGTATCTAACAGTGCTCATGTTTTTGAGCATATGAGCTTCATCAAAAATTACATAGTTAATTCGCATAACGCGAAATAATCTACGCTCCTCTGGGGTGCTACAGATTAAATTGTATGTAGTTAACAAAACGTCAACATCATCAAGATCACCGTTTCGCCAACCCATTCGCATATCTTTCCGCTCCTCTTGAGAGCCATAATATTGTACAATTTTCAAGTCAGGTGACCATTTTTCTAATTCATTCCACCAATTTTCTACAAAAAAAAAGATGAGTATATATGATAAGAGCCTATTTTTAGATTACTATTAAACAGTAAAGACGCATTACCCATAGTCGAACTGGGAACAACAATTAAATGAGGCCCGTCCATTTCATTGAGAAGACGAGCTTCCTTCAAATATGTTAGAAATGCTATCACTTGTACCGTTTTCCCTAGACCCATTTCATCAGCTAATATACCATTTACATTCTGTGCATGCATAACGGCAAGCCAATTCAGGCCAACCATTTGGTACGGAGCTAATGTTAAATCTGGTGATAATGCTTTTGGTTGCTGTGTTATAGCTGAAGCACCAGCAGCTACAGCTTTTTCCATATTGGTGGACAAGCGAAGGCATTTTTTCATTAGAATCTCTACTACATGACGTGTAGATAATAATACCTTTGAACACATTAAAAATGAAATTAACTAAAGTTGATAATAATTAGATATATCTTGTTATCATGAAAGTCTTTTAATTCTATATATGTACAAAAATTAGTATTCATATCTTAACAAGTTGAAAACTAATACATGCATCTATTTTGTTGAATTTACCTGAGCTGCATTTAATAATTCTGTATCTAAGTATCTTGTATTTTGGAATTTATTCACCAAATTTCTCCAATCTTGAAATGGTCTTGCTTCTACAATAGCATTAGCTCGCTTCTGAGAACATTGGGACATGAGAAGGAGCTCTGAAGGCAGAGCAGTTCGCATAAACTCTAAAACTGCCTTCTTATCACCTGTGAGCTCATTAGATATCTCTATATCCGAGTCTTCATCACTATAAAATAATAGTATTTATCTTAGCATTATATATAAGGTGTTTCAGGATTAAATGAGCTAAATTAAAATATAAATTTAGGACCTCAAAACAAGAAAAAATTTTCCTCTGGAGATATACTTATAAACACTTTGTTTAAGAGATATTGATATCTAAAGTTACGGGTAGGAATGATAAATTTATTGTACAACTGATACGTACTTGTTTCTATAACTCTATATGTCAATATTGACATTATAAAAATGGTACACAAATATCATCACCGAGAAATTTTATCAGTGACATTTCTTAGTTCCAACGCTTTTGTGAATTAAGCATCATTATGAACAAAATTTATTTTATAATTATGTTAAAATTTTCATATTTTCTAGTAATAAAGTAGTTGAAACACACTATTAATTTATTTATAACCTGATAATAATTTCATAAAATTTTATAATGAAAATGTTTAAATGTCAATATCTCTTAAACAAAGCATTTACGAACATATTTTCAGAGGAAAATTTTTTCTTGGAACACCCTATATAAATACATGTATATTAAATTGCGAGTAAAAAGTGTTGCAGAATTATATACCTATTAAATACTTTGTCTTTATAATTTGCTTCATCTGAATCGATATCTACATCTTCATCCACATTCAATTTTCTTCGTTTCTTTTTACTACTTTTTGCAGATCCCTTCAAACTTCTTTTCCTATTTTTTTTAAGTGCCTCTTCGGCTTCTTCAACATTCCAATTGGTACTACTAAGTACTTCCTCTATATGCTAAAAAAAAGATCATATAATTTATATATATATGTTAGTAGATATGTTGCATATATTGAAAATTATATTTTTCACTATTAATGAATGCTATTGATTTAACATTTTACTATTTATGGTTTGATCAAGTTTAATTTATCTTGTATTTTAAAGATGGCAAAAAGATTTATCAATGTCTAGTAAAAAATAAATAAAAGTTTACACATGTATATGTGATATAATTAGATGAATTATCCACGTAAATTATCTGAACGTGAGAAAGAGAAAAAACTTTACTCAAAAAATCTGATTGTGCTTACCAATACATCATTCTGTGGATACAAAGCTGTCAGGTACTTTAACTTATTCTCTTTACCTTTGGCATTACAGTCTAAACTTGGTTTAGCTGGACTACCAATATCACTGTCACTATCCTCAATACGATTTACAACTTTACGGCGCACTTGTGTATCAGAACTTACCAAGTTACTGTCGTCGTCAGCTGAAATAAAATAAAAAAGATAATATAATAAAAAAATAATATTTATATAAAATCTCTTGCTTAAAATGATAACTAAGATTAATTTATATTAAACAAGATATAAAAAACATGCCAAATTAAATGTCATTTTTACCATGTTACAACTATAAATTTATATAGTTTATAATTTATAATAGATAAATATACAAACGGAAAATTACTTAATATAAATTACTCGAATTAAAATCAATTCTTAAATATCGAACCGCTAAATCGGAATAAAATTAATATTTTACATGAATGCATAGATATCGTTTGCAGAAACGTAATGAAGAAGCCATAGAATACGCGCACCGGTTGCATTCGATTAACGAGATAGATTAATAAGAAATGTGCGCGAGATCTTACACATATTTATTGCTTTCGTTTGTTTTTTTTGAAAGCGAAATTGCCGCAGGAGGCTGGAGCTACTGGTATCCGTTTTAGGCGAATTCGATTCGGACATCGCGTCAACCGTGCGAGGGACGCTGACAAGAGCGCATTTTTGTGAAGGAACTTTCAAGAATCGTGTGGCAGGTGCATTCGGAAGTCGGAACCGCTACGTAGAGCGCGTCGAGAGTTCTACGTAGAAAAACGTTGAATGTAGATCAGATCGTAGCGCGCGCATCCGGCGGGATAGTATTAATGCCTGATTTTCATATGACATCTCTTCTCTAATATTTCTTCAATCAATTTTACTGCATAAAGCTTTTGACGCGTTCAAAAATAGTTTAAAACAGTCGAGATGCGATACGATACGCGAGAATCTTCTAGAAACTACGTGATTTTGTATCATTTCGCCTTTTAAAATTGAAAAATAACATTCAATATAGAGAAACATTATTAAATATTAAATTTTTCCATTCTTGAAAAATGTTTATCATCCTTCCTCTCATTGTCTAATTAATAATTCTTTCGATTAGCAAAAAGACTGTTTTTCGATTGGCCGATTGTGACGCGCGCAGGAAAAAAAAAAAAAAAAAAAAAAACTATATTCTTCTTACACCGGGTACGTTCTCTCGTGCAACTATTTTTCTCTTGTAGAAGTATTTAAAGTATTTCAAACAAAATAATAAAAAAAGAATATAAAGATATTTTAAAACGCACAATATATATAATTACGATATGCATGTGTTAATTGGAATAAAAACAGATTGATCATTAACCCGGTATAAATACTGCAGAAATTGTATCTACCTGGCTCTTAGGATGATGTTTATAATATGCTTATTATTTGTTGCAGAGCACATATATACACAAAGTACTTTAATGTTTACGTTAGGCCTAAAATAATCTTTATGATTATACGTGGCTCAATTATTGCAGTTAAATCTCGTTAGAAAAGTGTCGTGTTAATTGTATCAAATATCGTATCAAATTGTGAACCTCATGAAGCGCACTCCCAAATTTGAAAACACTATCTATCAAAACCCAATTTGTAATTCGGTCCCAATCTGATTAATACATTTGTACCATAAATACGAAATGTGTGTACTAACGAGATTTAAATGCCTACAAAGTTTATGCGTTTGTTTATAATTTGGGAGTCTTGATGAGGTAAAGTCGTATACATTATTGTTTAGTATATAGTAAGTTTGTCTCTCGGAATACGCGCTTGTTAATTTTTGATTAATTCTTTTACCGGAATGAGATTATTTCCAATCCTTAGAGATTAAAAAAAAAAAGAAGAATCGCGCACCCGCGAAAACTGCGCAGTCGCGTAGTTTCGCGTATACGTGTATTCACGCGATGCGCTGTTCTCGAGTATGCATCATTCGGGGACGACGGTCTCGCTCTCTCGCGCCGTCGTCTGCTCCTATCCATACCGTTTATTTGTGTCTATTGTTTGACCGCGCCAAAGCCAAAGCGAGGTGTGTGAATATCGGCATGTCAATGTCATTCAACGGCGGATAAGCGCGCGGGACGGAGCGAGAGAATGTTGCTGTACACGCTTATCGGCGGCTACATGCTCACCTCGGTGATACTGTTCAAGTATCCCACCTTACTGCACAAGAAGAAGAGGGTGAAGTTTCTGTGCCAGCATATCAGTCACCGAGGCGGTGAGTCGTCGTCGTCGTCGTCGTCGCGTCGTCGTTACCTCCCCCTCCTCCCTCCCCCACCACATTTGTTTACCTCGTCGGATCTCTTCTCGCGTGCGATTACGATCGTTGCGATATGATGCGCGTATGAGTGTCCTTTCTCTGTGTAATCTCATTAATTTTTGCTGTGTGTGATACCCTTTTAGGAGCGGGCGAGAGCTATGAGAACACGATGTGCGCATTTAGACGGTTAGTTAAAATATATTGTTTACTCTCAAGACTCTTGTGTGCTTTTAATCTAAGACTGCGAGTATTTTTCATATCACAGAAATTGCCAGTGTGAATATATTAATCGCATTATTACCAGATACGTATTTGACATCGTAAATTGACATTGTAAATAATTTTTATGCGAAATATACTCTGTATATGATACAGCACAGAGATGTTAAAATCTTTTGTTCCATGTTAATTTTGATGTAATAATTGATGATTTATATTTTATATCATTGTGAAAAATATATGTTTTGCACAATTAAATAATATATAAATTTACATAGAGTATATATTAATACCATATAAAAGCAGAGTTGTACACACACACACACACACACACATATACAAACACAAGCAATCTACACATTTGGTACACAACTCTTTTATATTTTAATATGACAATCAAGAAATTATTGTGAACTCTATTAATTGTTTCTAACATTATTCGCAATATTAATTAGATGCATACAGAAAAATAAAATTATGATTATATTAATATTGATTTATATCACGAACATACCACAAAAAAGGACAAAATTATGATAGATAATTATGAGCATTAAAAAAATTAATTATTTGAAATATATATTTTTATAACAGCACCAAACATATTATAATATATTTAAATTAAATTTTTCCTGTAGCTTTTTGTGTATCATTAAATTAGCGTAACTGCAATGGAATTGCAGTAAGAACACTTTTGATTTATCAGTAATTTGCTTGATTACTGATTAATGTTCACATTTATTTGTAATTATATTAATAATAATTTAATAATAACTCACTCACAAAACATAAATACACTCGTAAGTGATATTAACATGTTTACTTACAATTACAGAGCAGTGGCCATTGGAACTCAAATGTTGGAATTAGATTGTCATCTTACAAGAGATGGCGAAGTAGTAGTCTCTCACGATCAGAATCTTTTACGCAGCACTGGTATAGATAAAAATATTTCTGAATTGGATTACAAAGATTTGCCACTTTTAAAGCAACGTTTACCAATTGATTTTGAGCCAGGTATTGTTATTTATTATTTAAAAAAAGGATTATACTTTTGAACAAAATTATTTAAAAGCTGTAGTTGAACAGATATGGAGTATATTGGTTCTGCGAGGGAAGAAGATCGACAATTCGCCTTGCTACGAGAAGTCTTTGAGGCGTTTCCCAATATTCCTATTAATATTGATATCAAAATCAATGACGATCGACTTATATCAAAAGTTTCTGATCTTATAAAACAATACAATAGAGAGGAATATACAGTTTGGGGAAACTTTAGTGATGAGGTCACACAGAAATGCTATAAAATGGTATGTCAATATGCGAAATTTAATTCAATATATCCTTGAAAAGATATGTGAAATAATACTTCATAAAATACTTGACAATTTTTACTTAGCTGTTCTTGGTAAGATATTTGTTCTTATTACCAAGGCATATTCAAGATATAATTAACTTGATATAGATATGTATTTATTATATCATATAGTGTTATCTAGAAGGAATTGCGACTAACCAAATAAAGGCTAACTTATTTTTTGAAGTGAAAAAACTGAATAGAGAAGTATTTTTATATAGACTGTGTTGATTTTGTTATATTTTTAATAATCTCAATTTTATTATAGAATCCAAAGGTAAACCTACTTTTTTCAATGCAACGTGTGACAATGTTGATATTTCTTATGTATACTGGCTTGTTGCCATTTGTACCACTAAAGGAAACACATCTTGAAATTTTCTTACCTTCAATCTACTTGCGGTAATATAACTGAAATATTTTTTTGTAATTACAATAGAATTACAAGACACAAACGAAATTAAGTCTTGCATTTTTATTCTAGACGCAAAGGCGGTCCAAGTCCAACATTTTTACCACTGGAAAAATTTGTAGTACGTACAATTAATGTGTTATTAATGAGGCCGTGCTTATTTAATCATCTAAGAGCACGGGGCATACATGTAAGTATATGTATTACAATTCACATGATTATACATGTAATTATAACTTTTTAATGGAGTAATGGGCTATGAGTTTTATTATATATGTCTATATATAGGTTTACTTTTGGGTTTTGAACAAAGATGAGGAATTCCAAAAAGCATTTGAATTAGGAGCAACTGGTGTTATGACAGATTATCCAACAAAATTAAAATTATTTTTAAAGAACCATGCAAAGGAATGAAGTGTATGGTTACATTTTTAAAGAATATTTATCAGATAACAAACTGTTGAGGAAATTCGCAAAGTTATTTATGTCTGTAAAGAGATATCTGCCACATAATGTATGTGAAGATATATAAGCTATTATACGAAAAGGACAAAGTAGTATATTTTTTATAAGCAAAGCAGAACTATTTGCTTATGTTCTGTGTATAAATGCCAACTCGACAAGTTTTGCCAGAATTGCGACAGCCCGTACAAATCGATTCATTAGCGAAATTACATATACAATGTATTGCACACACACTGTAGTTCACTATATTACTGTTACATTAATCGTGCAAGCGTCCATTCACGGAATAAGATTGCTCTGGCCTCGTAAATTTCTAATTTATCCGTTTTTTCTCATTTATTTCTTGATGAAGCGTAATGAGGCTTTTTTTTTATTAAATTATTTATTTAGAAGCATAAGCTAGTATATTGATTAGTATTAACAATTATTTTGCGCACAATGAATATGAGTCGATTAAGCAAGTCTACAAATAATTTAAATCTACAAATAATTTAAATTGATGAGAGATTTTTTTTATAGTTTATAGGACAGTCGCATATATATACGCATTTTTATCTAATTTGCTACTGGAATTTATTTATCATAGTTTCAAATTCCGTATATTGGAATATTCTTATTTATGGGATAGGCATGCTTTGTCTCCTCATAATCCAACAAGTTACTATTTTTTAATCTGGTGAATTTCTTTACCAAAACTTTTTACTTACGATACCTCCTCTTTCATATATATATATATTGTGAGGAAACAAATTCGCATGTCCCAAAAAAGTCCGCGTGTGTGCGTGCATATCCCAATTTTTAGTACAAAATATCTATTGATTATTATATCTCTCTGGGGCCAGTGTTAGCTTAGCCCAGCATTCAGAGGCTTGAAATAACAAATAGTCTGATCTATGGTGCATTTGTTAAATAATTTTTAACATTTTCATGAAAAAAAAAGAAAAAAAAAACATTTTATGTATGAGAAGAAAAGAAAAATCGAGCTATGCTGATCGTGATATGTATATGAGTGTGATATAAAGAATTCCCTTTTCGTAAAATGAATGTGATAAAAAATAGTGTCAGTCTCGTTATTGAGAAACTGAAATCGAAAGCCCTATCATATGTGACTAGAGTTCTATTAAATAAAGAAATTTATGTACTTGCAAATACTGCATTTGATGAGTATATGACACATTTTCATTATATTTGATAGTGTTACACAGTATGATACCATTATAAACTTTATATAGCTGTGTGTATATGGAACATATTTCAGGGCTTATCGTTTTCTTTCAATGAATCTGTTCCTGAAGCGTGTTCTATGTACAAAGTTACATCATGTATTTGCATACAGGGCATTTTACAGCTAATATAATTGATATATAATTGTCTATATGGATATCTATATGTTGGATATATATATACTTTTCTAATCCTTTAAATATAGAAGGACTACACACATTGAACAATTAAAAGTATTAAGTTAATAATATATTCGAACTGCAGCTTGTTGCACACATTTATAAAAAGTATAATAATAACACACATCTTTTCTAACTTATTATATGTATTATATATAATTTATACACAATTAGAGACTTCTTTTATAAAAGATCTGTGTGTATATGTGCCATTATTATATGTATGCAATATACATGTTCAGATAAAAAGAAAAAAAATAACAGCGTGTATAAGCGTAAACAGATGTGACGGATATCAATAGTTATGGCTAAAAAATAAGAAATACATACACTATATTATGCCTAATAGGACAGTCATAGAATGTAATATATGTTTATGGTATGTTATTATATTTATTATTATTATTATTTATTATTACATTTAGTTAATATGTTGATAATTTTAATTTAATGAAATTGTTTGGATTTTTAAAGATATACAATTAAATTTACAAATCTAGTGTTTTTATGTCTTAAATGGTAGAATAATATTTTATTTATGCCAAATAAATATATAAATCCTTTTTATATAAGTTTCTTTATTTCTTTCATATTTTAATGGTGAAAAAGAAATGTGACTGTGTATAAATGTTATCGAATTTATAAATTTATGCACGTATATATGTAGGTATCAGAAAGAGAAAGGAATTCCGTATGTATTTAAGTATATAAATTATCTGTATTTGACTTTACAAATTGTACTTGATACAATGAAAGAAGTTAAATAAGTAATGTACTAAAAAAATTTTGTTAAAATTACTTGCTTCTATGAAATAATCAGAGTTCTATAATGTGTAATTAAAATGTCGGAAATGTTTTACAATGAATGTTAATTATAGAAAAATAAAATATGTACAAATTCATGTACCTTTGTACTTGAAATCGATTTTTGTGTATTTGTAAGCTCAAAGTTTATAATATAAGTTTTCATTCTATAATAAATAAGAATAACTTTTTTTACCTATTAACGTTTAAATATATATATATATAGAGTAATGTAAGAAATGGATATATTTTATCGTGTTATTTTTATCCATTCCTTTATTTTTTAAAATTTATATTTAATAAAGTAAAAAAGATTTTTTAAAAGATTTTAAAAACATTTTTAAAAAGATATTACATGCACATTTGGAAACACAATAATTTTAAATCAAACTTATGAAAATCTAGTTTAGAGAAATTATATATATATATATATATTTGTAGAATATATAATTGTGTATATATGCTAATAATTGTTACTATAAGTAATATTTAACTGTTTGCAAATGTGGTAAGATATGTATATGTACACACGTTACATTTAAAAAAATTGTTACAGATAACTATTATAACTTTTTGTGTTGTTAATTGTATACTTTTTATATAAAGATGCATTATAAATATTGCATATTAAAAATTTACGATTAGATTTATATACGTATATACATAACATATAAAAATATATATAAAAATTAAATTATACTCTTTAACATATTATTCGAAGGGAGAAATTAATAAGTTTATATAGAATATCCGAAAACTTTTGTGTCTATCCTACACAAAACATGTGAGTTATAACATATAAAATGTATTGTTAAATGTTATTATAAAAATGGAAATATAATAATATATCAATATTCCAATATTGTATATAGAGAATTATTAAATTAATATCTAACTTGTACAGTTCAAATTCTTTTGAAGACATTTTCATGAAAGATTCTGAATTCAAAGAAAACTTATACACAAATAGAAGTTACAGAGATATTATCGTGATGATTCATCACTTGTGCTCTCTTCTTTTGGAACATATTTCTCTTTGCATCTATGAAATATATATGTACGACTTAAACTGTTATCAGCATCATTATCATTTAATATATTTCGATATGTAAACACCTTGCCTTTGCAATATCTACAAGTACTATTTGAAGGATGTGATTCATTTTTATAATGCTTTTGTATAGCGGTTGTGTTTGGCTCAATCTTACTCTTGCAGTCGTCACAATAAACATAATAATCCTTTGGACGAAATCTTTCGTGAATGGAGTCAGTTTGGGTTCTATGATCTTGATCGCTGATGTTTTCATTGTTTAGTGTATCCTGTTCAGCAGACATTTTACAGCTGTCTTGTATCTGCAATTAAGATTGCTTGAAATTAATGAAATGTGTCTATATATTCCATTTTCTGTAATATTTAAAATTTATTATTCTCAATATGAAAGAAATTTATCTCGAAGAGATAATTTTTTAGAAGAGTGCTTTGAGCTTTCTCGGAGCAACACACATTTATTATTATATTTTTCATAAAAATTTGAAAATATCTGTATGAAAGATTATAATCGAATAATGACATATGACATGACGCAATGCATTGTTATCACGTGCTAAAACACAGCATATACGCGTGCAATTATCATTCTTTTATCTCAATATATATATGTATATATAGTAAATATTCTCTGATAAAAAGATTCTCTTATCTCACCTTTGTGTATAATATGTCAATATATATATATCCATTTACCGATTGCTTTAGCGGGAAACGAATGTACGTTATGCTAGCGTCAGACTGTGCACGTATTCGCGATTCGTTTATAATTTGCTAACAAGGTGGATAAAAGATTCATCAAATTCGACCAATCAGATTTCTTTATACTATTCACGAATAATTTAGCGTTAGTATCAACATTCTTCTCGTAGAGATTTATTCTTTGTAGCTGAACTTTTTCCTCTCTCTTTCCAATGTCTAAATATATATCTATTTCGCTTCATTCCGTTCCAGTTTACCATAAAAATCTAAGAGGTTAGATCAGATCACTAATATATTCGCAAATTATTATCGCAATTTAATTTCTCTCGCAAATGCTCCTCACTGATGCTCGCATAAATAAAGAAAAAAAAAAAACAGCTGAATATATAAATAACGTTATATTTTATTAGAACATAGAAGAGTTATTACAATATTATCTGGACGTAATACAGGATCGGGGGCTTATATGGGCTTGATCTTGAAGTGTAGTCCTATTAGAGAGAAGACCAAACATTTGAGATCCTGTACAAGATAGTAGAAGCAACGCAATCCCTCCGGGTCACGTGACTGATTGACGTCCAGGAGGGAGCCGGTCTTGGACGTGGTGAACGATATGTGCTCGTCACCGATTACGATTTCCAATTCTTGCCGACCGACGCGGTCCGGCTGCGGCCACAGCGAGTCGTCCTCCTGCATGATCTCGGAATCCTGGATGATTCGCTTTAGCTCCTCCATCACGCACTGGTGTACGTACGCCTCTTTGCGGATCATCGTGTCGTTCTTGTAATTGGAGTTGTTCGCGTATCGCAGCTTACCATCGGGCCGGAACTCGAATTCCAAAAACTCGTGCCCGAACTTGCCCTTGTGACCGACGTAATAGCGTATGTAAAAGTCCGTCGACATCCTGGTTACGATTATTTAGCTTCAGGTAACGACGCTCTCTTAGCGCGAAATGCTCGGATTGTCGATGACGTCTGCCATAACCAAACATCAAATCAGTTTGTATTTATATCGTTCAATGGCGTCGATGCCATCGACGCGATCAACGATTGGTTGGTCGAAATAAACATGGCGATCGAACGACGGTATTCTATTGGCTACACCATATTGTTGAACCAATTCGTTGCATCGAAGCGTGATTGGTTGTCTCTTATCTTTTACGTTTCGGTTTACCTATTTTTGAGCGTTTGACAGATGCGAAAGATTAAATTTAAGGTTGAAAGATAAATGACGGATTACAATGTTTAATTAATCAATAAAAATATAGTTTAACTTTTTTAAATAATCTATGTGATGGTGATGAACGAACATTCAAATATAATCTGACAAATGTCTAACCCTAATCTAAGGATAGGGGGGGGACAGGAAAAATTGACGTCATCATGTCAGATGTCAGTTGACGTAAAAGTGAACTGTGTACGCTTCCCGTTTACGTGAACGTCACTCCGTAGAAAAATGAGATATTTGCATTTTAGATATTCCTGCAATCGGTGTTGAAGGACATTTGATGACTTGTTTTCGCGATGTTAATGTACGCATCAAGCTAGCAACTGAAGTAGAATGAACTCTCACAAGAGCTCGATGAGTTTACGTTATTTGCGACGTTCGTAGCGACGAGATTCGCCAATTTGATCCTCGTCCAGCAAACATGAATAAGGGCCACGCGAAGAGACTGAACCAGCTGCCGAGTTGGCTATGGACCAATTCGACCACCTTGCCGCCGGTTTACAAGATGGTATGGGAGGCAGTACGGGATGATCGAGTCAGGTCGAACGGCATGCAGACTGAGCTGCTCGTCGACACAAATAAGGTATTTCCGCTGCTGCTCACCAGCCAGTTGCCCACGGAGGTACTCGGTCACATATGGAGTTTAGCTAACCAGAAGTACGCAGGACAGCTGACCGAACAAGAATTGTACGTCGTCCTGGCCCTCGTCGCTGCTGCACAGACTTCTTACACCTTCAATAGTCTGGATATATTGCATTTACTTCCCTTCCCGCCAACGCCGTACTTAAACATAGATTGTTTGATGAATCTGCAACCTACTGCGCAAACAAATATGCAGAAATTTCACTATGGTAACGAGGAGTTTAATGTCAATAATATAACTGTAGAGGGAAAATATATCCCTGATGTTAAAGGAAAAGTTAAAGTTAGATCTCACATGAACACAATGCCTGATGCGAATTTACCCTTCTCGAACAATACGTCTGGAAAATTATTATGTTCCGATAGCAAGACTCTAATATCTGGCGCAACCGCAAATAGTTTCAATAATATGTTAAAAGAAATAAAACAAACTCCACGTGTTCAAACCGATGTTCCACCTGCATCGTCCTTCGATGAGTCCTGCGATGACTTTACCGAATTTCAGAGCGCACCGATTTCTAACGTCTCCACTGCATCGATCTGGGATAGTAAACAAGGTTCTGCAATCGGCAGCAGACTTGCTAATCATAATCTAGGAGTAAAGAAAACAGTCGACAAAGTCAAGAAAGCCACCACTGGAACAAAAACTGTACATATTAATACTCAGATTCGTACGTCTGCACCTGCAAGTTTACCATATCAAAGTAAAGATCAGTCCACAATAGAAGCCCCATTGGATTTATTTTCTAAATGCGGAGTAAAGAATCAATCAAAAACAGTAATACTCAAAGACACTGTGATCAGAAATAACGATTTGCCTAAAGATTACAATGACAGTTTTAGCAATCTGGCAAGTGTAATAGAACCTGTATCTCTTAGCAACGATAAAGAGATATCGCCTAAAGCGGAGTTAACACCAAAGGTAAATAAATGTGTCAATTGTATATAATTGTTGCACAAGTACATCTTTGTATATTTATATAAGTTGAAAGTTAATATATATTTTTCGCTGATATATATATATATATATAAATTTATCTGTAGGCTGTCACAGTAGATATGTCTAATTCTGTTCAACAAGATTTAATGAGCTTGCAACAAATCGAAGATAAATACAGCGCATTGCGTGCATTAGTTCAGGAAACGTCTGTCGTGAATGATGTAAATTTAGATTTAACTGTTAATAATCAATCGGGCGACGAGTTCGGAGAATTTATGTCTGCGGAACAATCATCTGCTAATCATCCTACGATCATATCAGATGCTTCGGATACTGAAAGCTTTAGTAATATATTTGCAGATTTTGAGTTTAGTAAAGTGCACTCTAATGTTGACAACAATAATTTGGCAGATCTGAACTTTATATCCGAAGTATCTGAGTCGTTTAATAATTTAAAACTCGATGATGGAATTGAAGCACAATTGGTAGAGTCAGGTTAGTGCATTTTAGCAACACATGCTGGAATTTTATTTTCGCTTGCATTTTATTTCTTTTAAATCAAGTAGTATATTATTCTTAGGAAAGAATATTCAGAAAGAGGATGCTATTTCGATAAATAGTGTAGAGTTGATTAGTGGTCCATCAGAAGCACTGCCACGATCAGGATCTGTGCCTAGCTTAGATCTTAAATCATTTTTACCTTCAAACGTAGAGGAAGATCAAGTTGTAGAAACTTCACAGCAGGTATACATGTAATAGAAATATCAAAATGTTAATATGTAGAAGGAATATTGATTTTATCATATCTTATCAAGCACTTCTCTATTACAGACTATGTATTGGGAATGGAAACAATATATGGAAAGTTGTGTTTTATTGTTACAAGTTGCAGCCAATATATTTACCAATATAACATCAGAATTAGTTTTGCAGGAAGTTTTAAATTCAGCTCAAGGATACAGCTTTCTCTGCCGTAGGTGTTTTCTGAACATCCCATATAAATAAATATTTGCGTATAAAATATTGGGCATTATATCAAATCATTTTTATAATTAAAAATAAAGTATTCATATCGATTTCAATCTTTAAAAATATACAATACATCACTATCTGTTCACATATACATAAGATGTATAATATGTAAAATTATATATACAATATTTTTTGTTTTTAGAATTAGCTGAAGTTGCAGCTGTTTGTAGACGTGTTAATTTTTCATACAAAGAGTTAGACATAAACATTATTGGATTTGATGATCTTTTAATGGATATTGATCGGATTTGGGCTGAAATGGAACCTTTTTATGCTAATATACCAGTAAGTATAGAGTATAGATTATATGGATGTTAATGTTTGTGTACTTATACTTTATATATTTTTTTTTGTCCTTAAATACCTACATTTATCTTTGTGCAAAGAGATTCTATTATTATAATATAGAATATGCATTTGTACCAATATATTACAGATTGTCACTGAACTACCAGCTTGGCCGTTACATCAGGGAGAATGTGTGTCTTGTTCTCTATGTTTAACAGTTATTACGAGTGGTCGAGTTGTTTATAATGATAATAATTATCACGTAACATGCGCAAATTTGTGGCTTAATTGCGTAAACAATCAATTGCCGGTAATGCGATACTCTTTACTTTATCAACCAATTTAAAACTCGATGATGGAATTGAAGCACAATTGGTAGAGTCAGGTTAGTGCATTTTAGCAACACATGCTGGAATTTTATTTTCGCTTGCATTTTATTTCTTTTAAATCAAGTAGTATATTATTCTTAGGAAAGAATATTCAGAAAGAGGATGCTATTTCGATAAATAGTGTAGAGTTGATTAGTGGTCCATCAGAAGCACTGCCACGATCAGGATCTGTGCCTAGCTTAGATCTTAAATCATTTTTACCTTCAAACGTAGAGGAAGATCAAGTTGTAGAAACTTCACAGCAGGTATACATGTAATAGAAATATCAAAATGTTAATATGTAGAAGGAATATTGATTTTATCATATCTTATCAAGCACTTCTCTATTACAGACTATGTATTGGGAATGGAAACAATATATGGAAAGTTGTGTTTTATTGTTACAAGTTGCAGCCAATATATTTACCAATATAACATCAGAATTAGTTTTGCAGGAAGTTTTAAATTCAGCTCAAGGATACAGCTTTCTCTGCCGTAGGTGTTTTCTGAACATCCCATATAAATAAATATTTGCGTATAAAATATTGGGCATTATATCAAATCATTTTTATAATTAAAAATAAAGTATTCATATCGATTTCAATCTTTAAAAATATACAATACATCACTATCTGTTCACATATACATAAGATGTATAATATGTAAAATTATATATACAATATTTTTTGTTTTTAGAATTAGCTGAAGTTGCAGCTGTTTGTAGACGTGTTAATTTTTCATACAAAGAGTTAGACATAAACATTATTGGATTTGATGATCTTTTAATGGATATTGATCGGATTTGGGCTGAAATGGAACCTTTTTATGCTAATATACCAGTAAGTATAGAGTATAGATTATATGGATGTTAATGTTTGTGTACTTATACTTTATATATTTTTTTTTGTCCTTAAATACCTACATTTATCTTTGTGCAAAGAGATTCTATTATTATAATATAGAATATGCATTTGTACCAATATATTACAGATTGTCACTGAACTACCAGCTTGGCCGTTACATCAGGGAGAATGTGTGTCTTGTTCTCTATGTTTAACAGTTATTACGAGTGGTCGAGTTGTTTATAATGATAATAATTATCACGTAACATGCGCAAATTTGTGGCTTAATTGCGTAAACAATCAATTGCCGGTAATGCGATACTCTTTACTTTATCAACCAAATATATGTCCAGGAAGCCACATTTAAATGCCAATCTGCATACAGTTTCAACGTTTTCTAATTTAAGAATACACATTTTACATACATATCTCTTATTAATAGAATTCGTAAATTCGATTGAAGTATTAATATTAAAAATAATCTCTAAAAGTAGTTCTGATAAAATTTTCATTAATCTAGTGAAATCATCTATATGTACATAAGTAAAAAAAAAATGCAAATTTCATGTTTATGTCAATTATTTATTAAGTTCTTATACTTTATAAATTCTTAATAACATGCATATAATAATATATAAAAATGTGGAAGTATTTATATTTATAGTATGCAAATTTATTTATATATTTATTTTAACATAATGAATAATGTGATTGCATTTCAAACAATGATGTAATTTTAGTGCAGTATTATAAATTAAAAAAAATTTTTTTTTATATTTACATAGTATAAAAAATTTCTTACAATTATTCTTATGATAAAAATTAACGTTGACTTGTATCGCGTGGCCTATAAACTATTCCTCTGCTTTTCATTTCTCTAATGACACCAGCTGGTAACCGTCCTGATACTGATATAGCATAAACACCCTTGCAGAAACGATCTGAAGCAAACAGAACCTCTGTTAACATTGGCCATAACTAAAATAATTAGACAAGAAGTTTTAATTCCTAAAAAGATATTGTGCATCATTCTATTTAAATACTTCTTGACAGTAAGAAAGTTATATGTATACAGATAAATATGTTCCTCGATAAATAGATCGACATTTGTATGTAAGAATATTATATGTGCATAAATGTATTATACGTTTAAAAGTGAAAAATCTCAGAAATAAATATATTTATTAAAATATCTAGAGAAATATGTATTATAAATAATTTATAAACATATATATATAAGTGAGACTTACGTACATATGTCAGTAATTCTTTATATTACTATATAATTTTGAAATAGAGCTTTTAAAAAAATTTTTTAGATAAAATGAAAAAAAGGTGCAATTATAATTGCAATAAACTGTAGAAGATGTTAGTTATTTAAATAGTATCTTAAATAGTATCATCATTCAAAATACTCACTTATTCTTTGCCATTTGCACACCCAGCTATCTTCTGGACTCATTGCAGCAATCATTCTACAAAACAAATAAAGTATAAACAGATAAAGTAAATAAAATGTGATAAAATTGTCTTCATCTTTTACAATTATATATATTAATCTTCATATTCTTTACTTTAGATATAAAAAATTTATGTTGATATCAAATACCCCCAGAATTATACTACTGTATGCATTTAAAAAATTACTCTTAAACAATTGTATATATATTATTGCGTATTACCCATCAAAGTTGGAACTTGTACAATCGAAAACATTATCCTTATTATTCTTCATACGAAGAAACTCGTCGCAGTTGTCACATCCGTCAAACTCAAATTGATCAAAGGTCTGTTAAAACAAGATGACACACAAATGCAATTATTTCGAAAATGTAAATAAATTCTGTATGTATTGGCTTGTTAAAGAATTGATTATTATTGAAAATGCAACTTAGAATTTATAAGATACATACCTTAACCAACGAACATACCAAACATGCTCTTAATCCACGCAAATCTTTCGGCACAGTCTCCATGGACAATTATTCTTACAACGTAATATAATATAAATAATTTTTTTGCGATTATTTACAAATGTAAGGGAACTTGATTCCTTAGTTCAAACTGTTTCGTGATTACATACACATTCGAGTAACGAAATTTTCCTGAAATATACAATATATAAAACGCATAGACGAGAATGACAGGTTTGGTTAGATTACGTTAGGTTGGAATAGAATTATGACTCTTGCATGCTGCGTTCCTTTTCACGCATTGAGCGCATAGATCGCCTGGAAATCTATAAAGCCCGTTCTACATTGATCGCATGTCGCCAGTCGCAAGCAAATCGACCAATCACAGTCGATTATTCCGTCGAATATTCGACTGTGATTGGTCGATTTGCTTGCGACTGGCAACATGCGATCAATGTAGAACGGGCTTAATATATGTTACGTGAACTATAGATTTCCATGCGATCTATGCGCTCAATGCGTGAAACGGAACGCAGCCCATATAGACGCGACAATGTGGCAGGAAATGACGTGTAGTCAATCATCTCCCGCATGTTTGATTATTTCCGGAAAAGTATCAAGCTGATTGGCCCTCGTTGAGGAACTACTGTTCTTTTTGGCGCGTTCCGTTTGATGCTACAAAAGTTTCGAAGCAGTCTCTAATTGACCAATCAGAGACTAAGTGCCGGTCTACAATAGGTGATTTAAGCCCTAAGCCTTAAGAAATTGACCAATCACAGTCAAGTATGAGGAGAATACTCAACTGTGATTAGTCAATTTCTTAAGGCTTAGGGCTTAAATCACTTATTGTAGACCGGCACTAAAGAGACTCTCGTTCTGATTGGTCAATCAAATTCGAAACTGTTGTAGCGTCGAACTGTTGTGGCGTCAAACTGTCGTGGTGCGGATCGACAGATTGCAAGTATTGAAATATCATTTATATATTAATAGATGTATATTCATTATTCATTTGTATTGCCATATTTCCAGTGTTACGGAACGCCGTCTCTTTACGTGCATGCAAAAGTAAATAACAAAGGTACGATTTGTTTATTTGCATTTCATTTTCTGCACTTATACAGATGAGCTTTATGAATATACATAACTTTTTAATTTTTGGATATGATATATTTAAAAATTGGTAATAGCATGAAAATCAAGTCTAAAAAAACTTTGAAAATTGTCGCTTATGTGATTTTTTATATAATTGAGTTGAATTAATTTTATGCAACATTATTATAACTGAATTTGCGAAAAACCAGTATTTTATAAATACTAAAATTATAAATGATTCTGTGTCTCTTCCTAAACATTAATAAAATACACAACTTAATCTTCTATTGTAATATGTTTATATTTTATACATTATATTTTAATGTCTAAAAAGACATTACTCTATAAGTATCAAAACGCAAATTTATCAATTTATTAATAGGCGATTGTTACGTCCTGGTGACTCCACGATTCCTTCCTTCCACGAAGTTGTAATAAACATTAATTTATAAAAAAAAATTTACTTATTGTAATAACAATGTGACATGCATATAAAATTCGGAATCGATGTTAAAACAGAAATCGATAATCAATTAGCAGTCCTTATTTCTTTATTCTATGTGGTTCCATTTAGAGGACGGTTTCATTCTCCACCAGTAAGAGACCAATATTCTGCTCTAATGGCACCGGTCAGACAGACCATTCCCTCCACAATTACTCCCTCCTCCTATCCTTGTCTCCCCTCTCTACAATTCCTTTTTTATCTCTTTCCACAAAGAGGTATAATGGTGGGATGGGACACAAGCGGGATCAAACCTGGAACCTGACGATTGTCAGCCCGCGATTCAACGCTCTGCGCCACTCATCGCCCCATTCATTGTGTTATCATAAACACTTTTATTATTGCAAAAGTGTCATTATTAACACTTTTAAAAATATTTAACACTTATATTATTAGACTATTTGAACTAATTGATTTATATTTGCAGGAGGTAGGCAAAAAAAAAGACTATTCTTTTATTAAAAATATGTGGTTATTATTTTTTTTATTGCAATTATTATATTATTTTTATTACTGTTGTTACTATATGTTAGGCTATCCATGGAAGAAAAATCTTATCGCGATAAATCGAGTGAACATTTTCATAAAAGAAGCTATAGAGATAGGTCTAGACAGCGAATGGATGTAGCACCACATTATAGCAAACCACCAATAAATGTGCCAACAAATATGTTTACCAGTTATGTACGTGAGTTATGTAAATCCATATAAATCTAATTTCCGATTTAACGAATCTTTATGTAGACAAATTTCTATAATCTCCTAATTCGACTTGTAATTTATTTATTTCTCAATAACTTTTAGAATCTTCCTCCGAGACCATTTGTAGTGAGACCTATGGTTCCATTTAGAGGACGGTTTCATCCTCCATCAGTAAGAGGCCAATATTCTGCTCTAATGGCACCGGTCAGATCATTCCCTCCACAATTTATTCCGGATATCTACAGTTTTATTTTCAAATGAATGATGATAAACATTACAAATTTATATTGTATTATAATTTTTTTTATAGATTATTTTGTATTATCTCTAGTATTTTTATTTATTTCTTAATTTAAATGTAACTTCAGACATTTACAAATTTTCTCTATAATCACTTTATTTTATAAAGTATCAGTAAATGCTTGAATTAGGAAAATGTATATGCATATACAGCCACATATAAAACATACTTTTTAAACAGTATACCAGATTTTAAAGCTTCCGCTCGTTTTCTTTCGTATTCCAATATCTTCTGCCGTTTTAATTTTTCATGCTGCCTATCTTGTTCTTGCTCCCATTGCCATTCAAGTCTACGCTTAGTAAGTCTTCGCTTTTCTTCTTCGGTTGAAATTGAATGAGCGTCTTTATTCTGAACAGATTTCTTATCTCGTCAAATATTTGATTGTTGATTCATTTTGAAAATATGCAAATATGCAGATGTAAATCAAAATCTATTGCTAAAACCATAATAAATAGAAATTTTAATTTTTTTATAATAAAGTGAATGTTTCTAGAAATCTTCATTATGATTAATATAAGCCTTGCGATTAATAGATTAAAAAAACAAGGTAGCTTACATTTGAAGCTTAAAACTTTTTCTTTGTGAATTAATTTCTATATTGAATATATATATATATATAATGAATGTGATATTTTTTACAAAGTAGTTAAGACAATAATAATAAACCATCTGTAAACTCATCAGCCCAAAAGATAGAACTGATAAAAAAAGGCCAATATATTAACTCTTTGAGAACGGCAGACATATATATGTTTCGAAATTTTTTTCGGAAGACAGTAAATACATATATATAAGTTTCTATATTTTATAGTTTTTTTTAATAGTTTTTCATTTTTCCGGCAAGAATTAATATGACTAATCTCGTTATCAGTAAATAATCCATTTTAATTGGCGAATAATTTTCTTAATATATTCTCGTTCTAAAGAAATATATATCAATATATATCACAAAGGACAAAAAAAGAAAACAAGGAGACATTTTTCTCGTATCACATATTTATTTGAGAAATCTCTTTGGTACTCTCTCAAGACATTTTTATTAGTTTTTTATAATATCGATGGCTAACGCCATTTGGCAGCGATTGACTGTGTTTCGCTTACACGTGTGCATGATATCACCGTGTATTTTCGCGGAAATCATTAGCTGCTGCGTTGACATCGGTAGAAAGTTGTTACGCGTTAGTAAGGCTGTGCCAAGAAAATATGCGAAATATGAAAATATAAGACGCGTACGAGTACATAGCTTCTCGGGCAGTCGCGATATTTGATTCATCATTATTATCATTATTATCATTGGAAGACATTGTCATTGAATCTGAAATTCTACGCTTACTACCTTAGATTTGATTCGCATGTGGTCGCAGGAACATCAATTTTATCATATAAAAGAAAAAAAGAAAAATGGTTCTCTCTTCAAACCACATACGAATTAAATGGATAACATTGTTCTACAAAAATAGCGGTCACATGTTCTATCTTGATATTAAATGGAATTGTGCTGTGCTGCTGCTGCTGCGTTTTTAAAGTTAGTCCTCATCTTTAAAGCGACGATAGATGGACTGAACGTATGTGAAGACGCACTTCCAATCCGGTCGTTGCATCATCACCATATCTTCGACGTCAAGTAATGGCGCGATTCCAGCGACTTCGCTGCAAAAGAAAAAAGACAAGAGTTCTTGGCAAATTAAAAACAAAATATTGCTTAATTAATATTGATTAAATTTTTTAGACAAAAATAACGACGTTGATATCGAAACTCGGAGAAAAATCCGAAATTATTTCTTACTCGGCCTTTGTGAAAGCGAGTTCAAAGTTTTTCCTGCGATTCTCCGGACGTAGAGAATTGTAATCGAAAGCGTCCGGTCTAAAGTGATGAATTAACGCGCAGAATGCTAAACCGTTATTCCAGCTTGTTGAAAAGTTATCGAGCTGCACATTCTGAAACAGAAAAAAGAAATTACATGAATATATATAATTCAATAACGCATTAATTTTTCAGAGCGCACGTTTTCTCTTAATGATATGTCGCTTATATAAAGTCGATGTTATAGGGAGTATTTGTATATCGGTTCAATGAATATCTTACACATATAATAAGATGTATATTCACCTCGTACTCTTTGGTTTTCGACCGACACCACGCCAACAGTCGCTCTTTAATTTGCACAGCATTGTCTCGTACAGTTGGTTCGGTAAATTTGAATCGAAATTCTGTCGCCGGTGATTTTACAGGACTAAATGAAAGAATTACAATAAGATGAGAGACAAATATATATATAAATTAATAAAATTAGAACGTCTTTTTTTCCAAATTACTTTATCAACCATATATTTGTCTCCTTGATAATTTCTGTCATATTGAATCATCCGTGTAATTGTTAATTATATATTTTACTGTTTATTCTCACCTTGGCGATAAAGAGGCGCTGTTCTGCCTATCGAGCTGACGAAACTTGGCGAACGGCGACAGTGGTTTTTTCGGGACTGAAAAATGAATGGAATACATTGTAAAACTACATCGAGGAGCTTTAAAAGCGCAAGATATGTTAGACTTGTGCCGAGATGCATACTAAAATTTGATCGAGATGTTAATCTCTATATCTATTTTAATTGCTATTGTAATTGAATCCTGATACATGTCAAAGACGTAAAAAAAAGTGTAAATTATTAGAAAACTATGGATCTAGCAAAATCTTTCATTTCTCACTCTCGTCGCATGCCTTCAACGCGCGCGGGCGACATGCATTAGTTATCTTACAAACAAATTAAATGACAGTTTAGTACGAAAAAAAAAAAAACAGGTTTGATAATCGTGAAGAACGTATACATGTGCGTCTCTACATGTATAAGTATTAATTTTCTAAAGTATTTCTTAATAACTCTGGCTGATAACGAAAAGTTAACAAAAATCTGGATAAAAGAAACTATTTTTTTACAGACCGGATTACAAAATGGATATAATAACAATATAATAAGAGAATCGATTTTTTTGTCGATCGATGCCACCACATGCACGAGTAGGTAGGTACTCGTACGCGTATACACACGCACACACAACGCACTTGTACCCACGGGGACTTGTCACGAGGTGTGGCGGCAAGCAGGGCGGATTTATTAGTAAAATTTTGCATTTACACAGGAATTTAAATTTTGCTATTTTTTATAATTTGCATAAGAACCCCAAACGAAAAAGAAAAAAATATTTGAGATTTAAGAAATACTTCTATTTTCAAAAAAATCTATAATTCTGTTCTGAGAATTTTTTGACACGTCTATTGGTAAATCTGTTTGGTAATTTAAATTTTGTAAAGTATCATAGAGAGATTGTTATTTTCCTAGTTGGCTTTTAATTTTTATAATAATAAGACATTGGCTCAAATAATAATAATAAATGTAAGCAAATAAAAAGGCAATATGAGCCACAAGTATCACGTTGAGAGATTTATTAATTGTGTGAAGGCAATTGACAAATTTCAAATGGCCACAAAAAAAGGGCGGAAACGTTCGCTTTATTATCATATGTTGTTTAGTATCACTTTGTACCCGTTTTAATTTGAAATTTGTCAATTGCCTTCACACAATTAATAAATCTCTCAACGTGATACTTGTGGCTCATATTGCCTTTTCATTTGCTTACATAGCGTTATTACCATATGTTGTTTAGTATCACTTTGTACCCGTTTTAATTTGAAATTTGTCAATTGCCTTCACACAATTAATAAATCTCTCAACGTGATACTTGTGGCTCATATTGCCTTTTTATTTGCTTACATTTTTAATTTTTAATTACATTTTTCAAATAAATTAGCAGAATAGCTCTTCGAAATATCAAAGTTAAATAAATTTACGCTTCTTTGTGCATGGAAATCGGTGATTTTGTTTGCGCAAACACATAGTAAGATTGTCTCCGTGCTAACTTAATATAAAAAAAGTCTTCTGTAGAGAAATATCCATTCTCAAAGACTTAATTTAATTTAAATGTAATATATTACTACAACGCGAAATATGTATATACGATTGTATTATTGTATAATATGAAATCGTATTATTATGCAATATTGTTCATTACCTTAAATAGTATTACTTGGCAAGCACCAAAAAGTACTTCACAAATATCAAAAATCTTAAATTATACTAGAACTCACAATGTATATGCGTGTGAGTGTACGTGTGTGTAAAGATAAATGTGTTGTAATATTGCGTGTCGTAAAGTATATTGTGTTCAGGTAGTGAAGAATCGTATATCCGGTTTTCACCCCCGAATATCCGTATTCGAGGGACATTTCCGAGAGATTGAGCGTTAATTGAGCCACCACAGCCATCGCTATGCTCCGCTATGTACCAACACTCGGCACTACGATAATGTACACTCTTACACACACTCTATACACAGCAGTGCAAACTGTACGCTACTGCGTAATAAAGGATCAACAAAAATAAGGGCTGTGACTCACTGCTTTATTCAGGGATTGGCATGGATCCTGTAGCGACTCTCAAAGTCCGTTCGCGGGACGTGCGCGTCGCGAGATTTCGAGTTAAAAAAAAATAATAAAAAAATGAGGCACACGCGAAATGCACTCGCGTCAGCGACGTCACGTGCGCCACGCGCGTGACTGTTAAATATGTAGGTTTTATATGCCTCGCGTAGCTATGTAATGCGCATCAAGCACGGATAACGGCGGAATCGATGCGTTGCAGTGCTCTCTCTTTATCTCTCTTTTTCTCTCTTTATTTTTTGCTAGTTAGAGAAGACTTTGTACAACAACTTCGTTACTCGACGCGCTGATATTTCCACACGTGTCAGACACAATCTTGGTCGAGAAGGACGAAGGAGATGACGGGATATCGGCGTATGATGATGGTCGTTGCATCGGTCTGCACTACCGTCTCTCGTAATGGACGAAGACCATATTATGAGCGTCGATTCCACACAAAATATGCTTTCGTAGATAACTAGCTATATAGAGCTTCATAACGAAACACATTCCTGTTTTTCAGAAAAGGCGGCCTCTAATCTGTGTTAAGTCCATCATCTCGTGATGTTGTAAGATTGTTCGAAGAGAGAGCTTCGGTCTCAAATGTCAGATGTAGAGTGATTTCCGCGAAAACGAAGAATTATACAGCCAATTAGACCGTAGAACCAGGTCTCATTAAGCCCATATAATCACGCGTTAACAAAACTGTGTTTCTTCAGCTTCTTTTTCTTTCTCTCCAATTATCTTCTTTCTCTACAATTAACTATCAAAAATGATTTAATTTATAGATTCTAACAAAACACGTGGCGCATTTTACATAAAATGCACTCAGATAATACTGAATTTATTTTTACGAAAAGAAAAGAATATTTTACTCCCATTAAATAATTCTTGGAAGGAAACAGAAATCTACTTAAACCATAATTAATTTTAAGTCTCTTTATGGGAACAGACCTTGCTTTTAGAAGAAAACCAACGACAAACGTAAGCAAATTTCTAATATAAATAGTCTGATTAGAATTAACTGACAAAGGAGACAATGCGTCGTCTAAAATTATAGTAGTCGATTGGGTAAAATCACAGTTTAGCGATCCACATCGTTGTATAGCGAGCGAGATTAACGGCGATCGTACAAGTGTTCTTATCATCATGTTCAGCGCGGCGCAGACTTGCACCAAGAATTTAAAAGTCCCGGACGGATGTCACTTTTGTCGTAATCAGTTTCTCGCGTATGTAACGCAAAGGGTTTACGACACGGACGAAAAAGGATGACCGATCAGAAGCGATAATCGTCGTTTTTGGTAGCCTCCTCGAAGATGTCATCAAACTCCTTGTCCACTTCGGCGCTGTTGAGATTCATCGCGGGAATCTGCGGCGCCGGAATCAGCAGGCGCAGACTCCCATCGGATATTCCTGGCATGGTGCGACTCCTGGACAGAGCGATCGGACCCTTCGCCGAGTCGCGCGACGAGAAACGTCTGTTCTTCGAGTCCCTCATCTCCGCGGCGCTGTCGTTCGTGGTCGGATTGTCGAAGTACCTGCGTATCTTGTCCTCCATTCTCTTCACGCTGATCGAGGACGAGGACGCCTCGTATTGCTTCTTCATCTTGAAGGACGATGGCGACTTTGGCTTCGTCGGCGGTTTCGGGAGGTAGGACACACCTCGGTTGAGAGGCTGCGGTGAACTGTCGATCTGCGACGGACGCGACGAGCCTTTGGAGAGCGCCAGCTGATGCCACGATTCGGACTTGGACAGGACGATGGATCTGGATGGTTTATTGGCGCAGGACACCAGGTACTCGTCGCTCGGGTCCATTGCGCCGTTTGGAATCGGCGAACGTTCCTTTTGCTCTGTCCCCGGTTTCGGCAGCTCGTACTGTCCCCTGAGCGCGGTGACGCGATTTGTCGGGCCGAATGCCAAAGACGGCGTTACCGACAACAAACCACTGGTGACCACCGGTGGACATTTTGGCTTCTTCGGCGGTTCCAACCTCTTCGGTGGTTCCGGTTTCTTCGATAGTTCCGGCTTCTTCGACGGTTCCAATTTTCTCGGCGACTCCAACCTTCTCGGTGGCTCCAATCTTCTCGGCAAATCCAGTTTTTTCGGCACTTCGGGCGGTAGACACTTCGAAGGCTGATTAAAAGTATTCAGAAGCGGATTAAAGTCGCTGGATTGATTGAAATTGCCGGATTGATTAGCGATGGGCACGTGATGATCGTTTAGCATTACACGCTCGTTCTGTAGCCGGCGAACCAGGCTTTGTTGCAGCATGTTGTGCCGGCGTATCTCCTCCTCGGTCGTGACGCTCTCGTTGTTGGTCGGATGCGACCGGAGTTGCAAGGGCGACGAAGGGGCGGGCAACGCGCCAGTTTCAGGCTCGGAAATACTCAGATACTCGGATCGCGATTCCGGAGTATCCGTGGATGCGACGGTCGCGATCACGCAGGTATATCGCGTGACAACGCCAGCGTCCGCGCTGATGTCCTGATTTTGGATATTCTGCTCCTCCGGCAAAGCGCCGCCGTTCGTATACGAGAAATCTTCGATTTCGCGCGGCGTTACGTTCGATATCTGATTCTCATGAAACGGATCCGTATTAGATTTAATGTACGGCGGATAATTCTGATGTATCTGCGATCGATTATCCATCACTGGTTTAGACGAGAAACAATCTTCGTGTTGCGGATTCGTGTCGAAGATTTGCTCGAGTTGTTTTGGCGATTGATAGCCAAGAGTCGCCGGAAGAGGAACTTTCTCCATCGAATCGGGTGCACGAATGATGTCTTCCTCGACGAGATCGCACACGTTCTTGTTCACCAACGGCAAAGTTTCGTTTTTCGGAGCGTCGTCAGTCGCCACGATACGATAATTTCGATTGTGGTCCAGGATGAAGTGCTTCGGATCCTCGGCAGGACAATATCCTGAATCCAATGTCGCATCGTCGTGTCGAGGCGTTGCCCACTGTTCCCTGGACTCCACTTCCGGCTGGACGGACGCGTTGCTGCACGTGGACGGCGGGCCCGAGACTCTAGGAATCACCCGAAACACGCGTGCCTCCTCCGGATGATGATCGCCGTGGACGCCCGTCTGGACACCCACAGACGAGCTACCTCTCAGCGTCGCATCGATTGGCGCTTTTCCTGCAAATGCACTTCCGGTCGAGTCCTTATTGTCGCGCACCGCGAATGGCTCGAAAATATCCTTCTCGCTGCGGTGGTCGAACTTGTCCCGATCTGTCTGTTCCTCGATCGCGACGCGACGCGGCTGGTTTGGACGATATTGCGATTCTTTCTCAGGATACATTTTAAAGGAAATCTTTCCGTCCACTACACCGACCTTCTCGCTCGACGGCGTGACGTGTTCGTTGCGCTTGCAACGGGATTCCTCATTGTTCCTCGATGTCTTGGATTCCGGAATCCCGGTGTTCTTACTGACGAAGGGCGCGAATTGCTTACAGAAGAGCCGATAATCGAGCCGCCCGTTCTCGGTGACCGTGTTGCTCGACTTGCCCTCGATCTGCCTGTCCGTATGCTCGAGCCACGGTGGTCGCGGGAAGGAAGATTTCTGGAGGTCTTCCTTCGCGTTGAACCTCGCCGGATGCTGTGACTGACGAACGTTGCTGTCCCGATCGAACATAATCCTGGCTTTCTCGCGTAAGGTGTTTCCAGGCGGTGGTGCATTGTCCCTCTGATAGTGATAGCCGGGCGGAGACTTTGGCCTCTGTGTCTTCTCGATCTTTCGAAACAGCGACGAGGGCGCGTGTCTGAAGCCCGCGTCCACCTTCGACGCGTTCGCGAACGGGAAGCCATTGTGTGCTTTGTCGCTGATTGGTGTCTTCTTGTTCGTCTGAGGAGGTATTGGGAAACGTTTCGCTGGTTGCGGTTTAGGGGACAGTTTGTTTTCCATCTCGTTCGCGGCGGATGGTTTATCGAAAGCGGTCTTGATGTTCGAGAACCGGCTATTCCAGTTCTCGTTTGTCAATGACGACATATCTGTCACCTTGGTGTACCCAAAAGATTTGGCGAAGGCAGGCGCGGCGTTGTACGCCTGCGGCTCGTTGTTTCGGTTGATCAGGGCGAGGAACTTTTTGTCGTTCTCCGTTTTGGGATGGAACGATGGCACGGCAAGATTGGACGCGTTTGCGGTGACCTTGTCGCCAACGTTGATGGGACGTCGTAGCAGAACGCAGCCGGGATTATCAAGACTCTCGGCTTGTAGCTTCAGATAGCTCGGTATGTCAACGGTGTTGGCGCGCTTGATTTTCGACTTTTTCGCCGTAAATTTGTTGTTATTATTATTGTTGTTGTTGCACTTGCTTGCGCTGATCAATTCTGCACGTTGCCGAAGCGCTGCCGCGAGCTTCGTCACTTGACTCTGCTCCTCACTCGCCTTCCTGATCGCGGTTTCTTCGTCGTCGCTCTCCTTCTCTTGATAACTGTCTACGCTACCTCGATGTCGGGCCTGATGCATATTCGATTCACCGCTCACTGTGTCCGGCCGATCTGCGTAAGCGATCTGCGCCGGAATCAGCGAGCGATACGCAACGGTATCCTCGCGAGAGTCCTTGTTCTTGTCACGCAAAGACTGACGCTGATTAATCACATCCTTCGTATACTTGTCGTGGATCTCCTCCACGTGTCTATCGTTACTCGTCGCGTTACGCGACGCGGGTAGCAACGATTCCCGTCGAGCCGATACTTGGTCGTTCAGCCTTGCCAAATCAGCGCTGCTCTCCTCCAGCTGCTTTCTTGCGTGCGCGATTTCTTCGGCGGAGACACCGATGGTATGCCTGACAGCGCGTCGCTTCCGTCCAGGCGATGCGACGACGATGCCACTCTGTGCCCCGATTGTCCTGCCGTTCTCACCGACCTCCGTTTCTGTCTTCTCTTTTTCTTCTGGCACTTGTAGTCGCGATAGCAAACTGGACACCAGTCGCAGGAAGTGAAGCTTGCTTGTAGGATCCGACACTCCACCGTACTTGGCGAGTGTCGCAACGTCCGTGCGTTCTAGAGTCTCGCGCAAACGCGAGAGTGCGGTCTGGATGTCCGACAGCAGCAGATCCTCCAGGAACTTGAGCTCGTCCTTCTTCGGCTCGGGATCGTCCTCGTGGCCGTCGAGCAACGCCTGTTCCAAGGAGCGGCGCGCGCGGATACGATCAGGGCCGCTACTCTCGGATTCGGCGAACGACGTCGCCGTCGGTTCGTCGCCGCCGCCTCGTCGGCAACCCGTTGCCAGGGACAGCTCGAGCGCTTCGCGTAGACGTTCTACCAGTACCGGCAATGAATTCCACTCACCGACTGCTACGCCGGGGCCGCTGCCAACCCGACGACACTGCTGTCCGCTGCTACCGTCGTCGGCGATGGTCGTCGATGGTATCCCAACCCTCGGCTCACTTGGTTTCGCTTGTCCCGCGGCCACCCCCGGACTTGGCACGCCGTCGTCCGACGACGCGCTTCTTGTGACAGCCGCCAGCTCTGTTGAAGAGGAACAGATCGAACAATAGTTCAGAGATTATATTAGAGTCTTATAATTTGTACATATCTTATCTAAGTAAGTTAAGATATATCGAGCCTTTATATATCTTAGCCTTTTCAAACATTCTATTATGGATTACTTGATTTGATAGGATTTTCATTGATTGAATTATTTTATCTCCTATCGCATTTTTTATTTTTTGCAATTGATGTGATCTTTGCTAATGCATTCTTTGAGGCAATCATAAATTTATCCTTGTATTAGATTTTAAAAATATTTCAGAAATAAGTTTCTAATAACTTCCAAGATATATAAAATTTATATTATGTATCAAATTATTATAATATGTATCAAAATAATGGAAAGATGGAAAGATTATTGATCTCAAATAAGATAAAGCAAAATAAGAATATTATAATGTTTAATAAATCAGTTAATTATTTTTTGTATAAATATAAAAGTGCATAAAATTATAAATTATTTGCAATTAATAGAGAAGTAATTTTATAGCATTGAAATAAAATTACACTTTTATACAATTTGGAGAAAGCATACCTACTATGTTTTCTGACCGAACGGAGAAAATGTATCAGCGTCAAAATATTGTTTTGATAGCAGAAGAAAACTCACTGCTTCTCTGCCAAAACGATCGCTATTTTTAATTCACGATTGAAAAGTCCGAGCATAAATCTTGACAAGTGGTGCTTATCTTTCTCTTTCTCACGAAGACTGAGATATATTCAATTACTCGCATTTATTGTTTACATTGAACATTCGCGTATCTTGCTTTTTGAAATGATTTCACGATAATTTATTATATGAAAAAATATATATATATTTTTTTTTGTAAAAAGATTTTATAAGAAAGATTATATTATTTTGTTAACAATATAATGACACAATAAAAATAACGTTTGCGGACAACAAACTGTAACACAAAACTTCTAAATTACACAACTATTTTTTATCAAATTTGGAACATAAAATCAGTGTTTCGATAGTAATTCACTTTTCTTGTAATGACATACATTATAGTTAATCATTTCGAGACTCTCAGAGATACATATACATATCACTAAATATTTTTATTATAATAATGAAAATTAGCATAATTAAAAATAATCTACATATATGTCTGTCAGTTTTTATAATTATAGTTTTGTTGTACTCTTGTTGCATAATGTTAATATCTTGATTAATTATCATACATCTTTTTGTCTTTCTTCGTTATCTTTCATATTTTCTACGCAATAAATTCTAATTTTATACGCGTTAAACTAATTTCAAAAATAGAAAATTTCTCAAGATTTAATGTACTTCATCGATGGTATCCCAACCCTCGGCTCACTTGGTTTCGCTTGTCCCGCGGCCACCCCCGGACTTGGCACGCCGTCGTCCGACGACGCGCTTCTTGTGACAGCCGCCAGCTCTGTTGAAGAGGAACAGATCGAACAATAGTTCAGAGATTATATTAGAGTCTTATAATTTGTACATATCTTATCTAAGTAAGTTAAGATATATCGAGCCTTTATATATCTTAGCCTTTTCAAACATTCTATTATGGATTACTTGATTTGATAGGATTTTCATTGATTGAATTATTTTATCTCCTATCGCATTTTTTATTTTTTGCAATTGATGTGATCTTTGCTAATGCATTCTTTGAGGCAATCATAAATTTATCCTTGTATTAGATTTTAAAAATATTTCAGAAATAAGTTTCTAATAACTTCCAAGATATATAAAATTTATATTATGTATCAAATTATTATAATATGTATCAAAATAATGGAAAGATGGAAAGATTATTGATCTCAAATAAGATAAAGCAAAATAAGAATATTATAATGTTTAATAAATCAGTTAATTATTTTTTGTATAAATATAAAAGTGCATAAAATTATAAATTATTTGCAATTAATAGAGAAGTAATTTTATAGCATTGAAATAAAATTACACTTTTATACAATTTGGAGAAAGCATACCTACTATGTTTTCTGACCGAACGGAGAAAATGTATCAGCGTCAAAATATTGTTTTGATAGCAGAAGAAAACTCACTGCTTCTCTGCCAAAACAATCGCTATTTTTAATTCACGATTGAAAAGTCCGAGCATAAATCTTGACAAGTGGTGCTTATCTTTCTCTTTCTCACGAAGACTGAGATATATTCAATTACTCGCATTTATTGTTTACATTGAACATTCGCGTATCTTGCTTTTTGAAATGATTTCACGATAATTTATTACTTGACGAGAACACACTCGTCTCTTTCACAAAGATTTTCGAAATATTTAATATTTATTTTTGAAAGCACCTGTCTTACTTGTCACTCGTTTTACACTCGGATTATTGCATCGCGCTGTCAGATATATTGCATAAAAATAGCGATATAATTATTCCACAAAATATATATAAAAAACGATACCAATAGCAAAACACTAGAAAATATTCGGATAATTAAAGGAAATACTACTTCCCTATCAAAACGATCGGCTTTAATTCACGATAGATGCGCTCGACTATAAATCTCTTTGACAAGTAGTATTTTTTCCAAACAGCTCGAGTTAAAAACCAAATTACGACGTATAATTTTCGCACATTAGCACCGATGTTCTCCGACTCGTTACTCGTTTCGCGCTCGCTTATCGTTGCCCGAGGAAGCACGCGTTCTCCAAACGTGCGCTTCGCACGTCCGACCAACTCGGAATATCTCTCTTCCGCACGTCAACGTGTCGCGCGTTTTAAGACACGCGCGAGGAGATGCGCGGGACGCGGAAAGAGCAGTTTGTTAGAAGCATTGTAAAACAACCGGTTTCCGCTCGTCGCGCGAATCCGCGTCGCTTCGCGCGCGCGCACGCGAGCTTCAACGCGACTCGGGCACTCGACTATATCGCGGAGATATGGATTGATATCCTCCTGTCTCGGGGGATGCGCGAGAAGACGCTCGAGGGAGAGAACGATGAGTTCCGATCGCTATTCGCAACTGACAGTGGAACACACAGTATTTTTACCGGCGTGTATCTCTCGTGCCGCTGCGCGATTTTTTCGCGGCTCGCCGAGCGGAAGAGAAAGAGGAGGAGAGTTAGAGCGCGGCGCGAGGAGAGAGCCGAGAGGCGCGAGAGAAGCTGACCGGCTTCGGAGGCTATCGCGCGCGCACACGCTCGCTTTATTTAAAACAACGCACGGGGATCCTCTCCGCGGGGATTTATTTTCGGTCGCTCGTTCGACGCCTGCCGCAGCTGCTCGCGAAGCGAAGCGAGGCGAGGCGAGGAGCTAAACTACCCGCGCGCACAAAGCGAGTCCGCCCCGAAAATTGCACTCGCGTTTCTTTATCTTAGCGCGAGCACCATCTCTTACAACAGCTTATTATATATAGTTGAGCATCGCCAGCTGTCATTCATTACATCGCGATGTAATACAACTTCGTGTTTCATTTCCTTCTCATTTTTATTTTTGGAAACGAAAGCGCGTTAGAACAATAATAATGATAATAATAATAATAAAGTAAAGTAGAGGGAAGTTAGGCTGAAAAATCCAGAAATAATGATGACTAGCGGTTTTTCTCCTTATTCATATTAATGGTGGTTGAAAGCGAAGTCATACACTCGTATGGATGCTGATTTAGAATTGAGGATATAAAACAAATAGAGTCACGTAATGTGCTTTATGGCAGATGAACGCGCACAGATACATAACATTGGTCGCACCCCAATTGCCGTGTTCTACATTGCTATCGCTCCCATTCCTCTTTCCGGATGAAACAATTTACACAGCGTACCTTTCTCTTTGTAGATTATTATAGACATGATACAATGAATCAATTATAATCAAAAATGACATTTTCTTTTATTTTTATGAAAGAATCAGTAACGTTTACGTGCGTTTCGTGAATAATATGCATTCTCTCGTTTTTGCGTTTATCTAAAAGAATTTGCATTGATTTATTCAAAATAATGACAAATTTTTTACTTTATATATTTTAACGTTATATTTTTAAACACACTACGTTTCAGTTTGTAATGCTTTTCTTTTTATTGTTTCTGTGCCAATTTTGCTGTTCTTTCTTTTTTTCTCTGCTCCTCTCTTTATTGTCCTTCATCTCGTTCATTGTCTCAATCTACGACTGCTATTTATCTCTTTGTTTCTGTTAACAATTCTATTTTAACTGTTTTTGTGATATGTCATAATATTTCATATTATAAGAATTTACATCGAACATTTCGATTGCATAGCATCAATCGTATCATAATTATGCTAGGTGTCCCAGAGACACCTGCTAATGACAGATTCTTAAGATTTGGAGGCAATTTTTCTTCCACGAAAAAGTCGAGACATCAATAATATTCGAATTATAAGCAATTCAAAAAAAGAAGGACTTTTCTGCAAAATTACACTTTATGAAGAGTTAAAAGATTACCAAAACTACAAGATTACTCTTTTTCAATTAATTTTAAATAGAGTTTATTTTAATAGAATTTTAATGTAAGGCTTACTTACAAAGATATATAATAGCAAAAATTGGAAACTTAAAAAAAAAAAAACGACCTTGCTCGATATTATCGTTGAAGAAAAATCGTCTCCAAATGATCTCGAGCATCTGTCGTCAGCAGGTGGTGCGGTGACCCTGGAACACCCTGTATATCGCTGTGAGAGCGTGAGATTTGTAAATAACGCGGGAACTTCTGTGTACCGTGACCGAAATAGTTCGCGTAAGAAGGTTTAGATTTCCTTGAAACATGCCATGCGAGAAACGCAGATCGCTGTATATTCGCAGCGAGCTATCCCGCTGACGTCGCTATTCAAATAAACGCCGCGAACGTCTATGCGAATAATGGCAGCGCTAACGCAAACACGTCGACGACTTGGTGAGCAACGACGATTGGTTCCGACAAGCGCGATGGTAAACACGATGGTAAACGCCGTAAATTTGCGCCCAACTTATTTAATAGAATTTCTATTCCGGAGCCGCAAAATGTTGTAGAAACTTACAATCTTAATAGATCAACGGTAGATTTTCGATCTTTGAATTCGATTGAGATTAATTTTACCTCAACTATATTTTGTCGAATCGAAAATAAAGAGCTTCTTGCGAGAATTGGAGCGCGATCCACGTAGCAAAATTTTATTACTTATTTAATCTCAAAAGTAGCCGCGTGCTTTAATTACAATTCGGTTTTTAACTTCAAGTTTTATTTTTCTCAAGTTTATATAAAATTATATAAAAATATTATATGAAAAATATATAAAAATATCATATAAAAATATCATATAAAAAATTCTCTTTCTAATAAAGTATTTTCAGAAAGGAGATATCAAAACATAATGACAGCCGATAAAATTTTCAAATTTCTTAGAAATCCAAGTTGTTTGTGAAATCCCTGCTATTTCAGCGACGTACTTTTCCTGCGTTAAAAATCTCCAAATATTACAAACGTAAGCATTACACCAACCTGAGTCCGACGTTTCTTCTTTTTGCGACTCTTCGCGACTCGATGTCTCCGTTTCTATTTTCTCCTTAATTTCCTCTTGTTCTTCCTCCTTAATTTCCTCTTGTTCTTCCTCTTTAATTTCCCCCTTGACTTCCTCTTGTTCAGTCTCCGTAACTTCCTCTCGCTGCTCTTTTTCGGATTCCTTCGTAGATGACTTTTCCGATAATTCTGGACTATCCGATTCTTCTGTTAAGCTTGCTACCTCCTCTCTGTTGCTGACCTCCTCTGTTTTCGCTGTCTCTTCCTGAGTATCATCTTGTTCTGACACGTCCTGCGGATCTGCAAAAGCAAGATGATTGAAGATGACAATCCGTCAACGCAAGTGCATCAAATTGTACATTAATAGAAAAGAGATGAGAAGCAATCATTCGCAGTAAAAATGGAAATTTTTTTTGTTTCGATAATGAGTGAGTGCGATGATGCTTGAAAAATAGAGCCTTTGATGTGTAAATTGCCAAACTTTATGTATCATAGAATAAAATGCTTAATGTTGCCCGTGAAGGCAGCAGGCTGATGATTTTTTTGTCATTTCGATTTCTGCATAAATACATCGTCAAAAATTACAAAATTTCACAAAATAGTTACAGATGTGGCGATCTGTTATTACATTTGATGAGCGTTTTAATAATATAGCTTCTAGAGCGTCTCGTATTCTGTGAGTCGAAGAGAGAGACTTAAAAGCGATGAGATAAGAATGCGCTTTGAATTGGCGTTTTTTTTTAATTTCAATTCCTGTCGAGAAGAAGAGAATAAATGTGATGCTTATTATTTTTGGCCGTTTTGCAGAGCTGCATAAAGATCGATGACGTAGGTCGGCGAACGCTTCTTGTTAATAAACAGTGGCAGCGGCGAATGCAAACGGCGTTACATCGCGGTAATGCGATGGGAAATGTAAACTCTTCGCACCCCAGCCGAGGCAGTAGACAGAGGTACGTTTTCAGAGTGCTGTTGTCCAGAATCTTTGGTTAATAATGCTCTGCATTCCGTTACACATCATACGATTGATCATACTGATGAACATTACATTTTTTGCGCGCATACGCTGAATTACGCTCGTTCCCTCGTGACTTCTTCCCGACTGACACTCGTTTATCTATCTACGATGATATTCAAGTAACACGGTCGTGACGGAGCTCGTAAAGGGGCCCTCACCTTCTATTTCCGACATTTCGGCACGCCGCTTCGACTGGACGCCTAGAAAAATAAATATTATATATGTAATTTTCCATTTTTCTCTCATAAAAATAATTCTTAGTAAAATAAAAATATTTTTATCAAATAATTATTATTTTTAAAAATATCGAAGGCACAGAGGATTCTGGAGCTTAAGGATATGATCTACTAAAACATTTTAACTTAGTTATGGAATTCTGATATTGTAAAAATTGTCTCACAAAATCGTAACTTTATTTGCAGATTTTATAATATATAAAAAATTATTCATGACAGTGTAATGTGTATTTTGAAGGATATAAATTTATGATAAAAAACTTTGTTAATTTTATGTTTAATTCAGATTACAGACTGCGATCACGTGTCGAAATAATGGAATCCAAATCAGACGCGATACGACAGGGATACGCAGTTGGATCAAACGTCTACCGTCGCGATGTTCCTAGATTTGTCGATAGACAGATCTACTTTGTCATCGATAGTGGCAGAGGTAGAAGAGGGAAGCGGATGCTAAGCATGCCGAGGCAGCCTTTCGTGGCTTTGAGGGCCGTTTCGCGCGAAAATAGCTCTGACCCGTTTTCGTGATACGTTCGAAAATTAGGAAGAAGAGGACTAGACGCATGCACAGCGCACAACAGCGTTGATTTGCACGCGGGACGACCATGATAGGTAGGCGGTAGTGGCGAACGCGCGATGCCACGAGGTCGCGCTTTATAAATAGGCCGGGCGAGTTGCAGCGTAGGTAGATGCCTACAAATGCCTCCCTCGAGAAAGTGTGTTCGCATTTTCGCTCGCGGAGATTCCCCATCAAAATTGCGACGCGTAGACTTGGTGAATAAAATTGTCGGTAGAATCGATGGGCCGAAAGAGTCGGAAATAAATTTCGTTCGCCCACTTATCTCCGTTCGCTTACTTCCCTTCATCACTTACTCTATCGATTCTACAAATTGTTGGAAGAGAGGAAGAGGGGAATAATTAAAAGATCTCTTACAATAGTGTGATTTAATGCTCTCTCCCTTTTAAAAAATTGAGGAAAATAATCAAGAGAGAGTTAATCTCTTTTCAATTTTTTAAAGCTAATATTTCTAGGTGTTTGACAAAAGTAAAATTAATTCTGTTGTATTGGATTGCTCTTAGTACTCCTGATTTGACGTAAAGTTTTCACGAAAAGAGAGACGCTTAAAAGATGCTTTAAATGTTCAGATACTTTTTTAGATCCTTCTCAGATATTTTTTCAATTCTTTTTTGTTTAAAGGCAAATCAAGTGGCTTATTTTCTTTATCTATAGCCCATTAGCTTTCCTTGAAATAGATAAATAAACAACTTGCTATTTGATTTGATAGTCAACTTCACGTACTCGTGATGTTCACGTGGCGTTACAACATTTTCTTCCAGAGATCGGAAATGTTTAACTGCAATCTTTGATTCATCTCTCCCGTCTTATTACTATACGTTCCGATTGTGACTTTTAGTAAATGATACCACGTGGCAACATGCCAAGGATCACTTCGCCATTCTGTTACTTGAAGCTCGCCGAGTCACGATGGCGATTTCGTCGAATTTTCGCTTCGTCGATGGTCACGTATTTTCGGATACAAAGCCGGAATGCGAAGTTTCCGAAGAATGCAGATCGCGTCTCCAAATAAATTTAATGAAGTTATAGCGAAAGATGCTTTGACAAAAGCTACGAGAAAGCGGAACTCGTGTATGGAAAGAACGTGCTATTTTAAAGTAGAGAGTACCACCGAAATATCTATTAAATCTGTCCTAATTATATATTTGGAATTATTTAGACATATATAGTAATCACAGTCGTAAATAATAACTTTGTAGGAAATCTTTAACTCAATTTTTTTGCCTCTCTTGCGCGCATTAAAAATAAAAGAAAATAGTGAACATTGCCATGTATAACATATGATTTTTATAATTATGAAAAAATATATATATATATTTTTTTGTAAAAAGATTTTATAAGAAAGATTATATTATTTTGTTAACAATATAATGACACAATAAAAATAACGTTTGCGGACAACAAACTGTAACACAAAACTTCTAAATTACACAACTATTTTTTATCAAATTTGGAACATAAAATCAGTGTTTCGATAGTAATTCACTTTTCTTGTAATGACATACATTATAGTTAATCATTTCGAGACTCTCAGAGATACATATACATATCACTAAATATTTTTATTATAATAATGAAAATTAGCATAATTAAAAATAATCTACATATATGTCTGTCAGTTTTTATAATTATAGTTTTGTTGTACTCTTGTTGCATAATGTTAATATCTTGATTAATTATCATACATCTTTTTGTCTTTCTTCGTTATCTTTCATATTTTCTACGCAATAAATTCTAATTTTATACGCGTTAAACTAATTTCAAAAATAGAAAATTTCTCAAGATTTAATGTACTTCAGAAAAATAACTCGACAAAAAAGTATGCCAAGGGATTGATCACTATACGACATTTTACACAATAATCTTCAATAAATCTTCGATATATATATACAATCCAAATGTATCGTTACGATGAGCCGGTTATTGTCTCGAAAGGATTACGGATTCGGGAAGATGCGAAATTCGAACGGAACTGCCGAAAGGGCTGGGATTTTACCTTTAAGGATCGGAGGACCAGCGTCGGCAGTAGGTAGGGGTGGCCCACAAGCCTTCGGGAGACTGCGTTCGTCTCGCCACCGCCAAACTCTCGCCGTTCCGATGGTTATTGCTGGCCGACAGTGGTGGTGGCGACGGTGCGCCGCGCTGGATGATGCTTCGCTATCAACGCCGCCGTTAAAAGCATAGCGTCACCGGGCCCAAATTAGACGGCCCGAAATAGCGGAATTATTGGCGGCGGCGCGCATAGCCGGCTTGGACACGACACACCACGGTATCCGGTCGCGGAGACCGAGCGAGAGAACGCTTCCGCTACCGGTATATACGGCTCGATCACCTGGCATCAATTCGGAGGACATCCTCTGTGCTCTTTTGTGTTCCGAAGAGAGTGGATGTTATCTGCTTCTAGAGAAGAGGAAATATACTCGCTACAAAAGTGCCACGTGGAAATGTCTTAATCGCGATGAGGGAAACGCACTGTTTATCATCGTCTATGGCAACGATAAATAAATTGATTGAAATGTTTTAAATTGATTGGATATTGAAGTGATCGAGTTTAAGTTAAAACTCTTTATATTGCGATTGTGAATAAATAAATGAGCAATTACGAATTAATATCTGTTCAGTGTTACGGAAAAACATACTTCTAATATCTAGTTTTCTAAAATTTTTAATGTTTTATTGTTTATAGAAATTTTTACGTGAAATGGTAGATAAACATTTTTGGATTATTGTTCAAAACTTGAAATGACTATGAAAAAAAAAATTATGATGCATGTATTGTAATTATTCTTTCTATAAATATGATGAAATATTTATATAAATAATCTTAAGCATTATTTAATTATATTTCTCAGCTTCTGCTTAAATATTATTTGAGTGTAAAAATATGTATCATTTAAATAATTTTCTGACTGTTGTATAGCAAGAATTTATGCTTATATACATTAAGAGTTATTTCTCCTTTTACTTACATTTCTTTAGCTTATGTAGTAATAAAATACGTTTATATTTATTATGTGTTGAGATAAAGCAGTTATAAAAAGAGCTTTCCTATAAATAAATCAAAGTCTTTTGCAAGTTAATCAAAATTATATATACATATATAATAGATTTTTAATTTTATTTTTATAACTGAAAACCAAATCGTTAATTCACAATAGTCAAGCAACAGTCCAACTTATCATAGATTTAATTAGTAGAAAGTTTGAAAGCTTTCGTTCGCTACCTGTTACATATCATGAAAGTTATTTCGTTTGCTGGCATCGATGTCACTCGCATGCCATCCTGCATACCGTACGGTCCGTACGCGCTTGTCACGTCATCATCTTCTTGTGTCGTCATACCGAATCGCTGGTGATTGATTCATCGAACAAAAAAAAAAGAAGGATATAGAGCATAATAGCGTATCAAGCAAGAATATCGATATATCTCGCTTAATTTTAGACTGATTTCTCAATTATTATGCAATTATAGATAGATTATTATCGATTGAATTAGACTTTTCTCTCAAGAATGCAAGCATCTAAAAACATATTTTTCAACTAATGTCAAGTAAACTATTTCAATAGAACTTTTATTTAAGACTTAGTTATAAAAATATGTGACGTTGAAGAGATTAGAAAATGTTGAATCTTTTTCAACATTTTTGTTGAGAAAATATCATCTCCACAAAGTCTGCCATTAATCGCCGATAAGTGCTTATATAAAATAAATATGACATATTACGCATTTTTAATGAAAAGTCAATTATCTAATGTACTTCTTATTCTTTTCATTCATAAGCTGCGTGTAGTCTACGCGAGCAGCAGAAGTCGATTCAAAGCGATCAGTAAAAGAATTGGATCAGCTGATCCGATGTAGACTTTTCTCGTCGAATTGCTCTCTGTCTTTCTCATCTTTCTCTCTCGTTCTCTCCCGCCGATCACCACCGCCGATGACAGCCCCACTCGTGGTATTCTCTCTCTCTCTCTCTTTCTCATTGAGGTAATACATGAGGTCGTCTGTGTCCGTTGGTAGAAACCGCTTTCCAAGCGAAGCCTGTTAACGTACGCGGGCCCCAGTATTCTCACCGCCTTCGGATCTTAATGTCGCGCGGTGCGCGAGCGCGCTTTTAACGTATGCCGAATTTCGCAAATAATTCGCAACTTCAACCTTGAGCGCTGATAACCCGTAATTTCCTTAAAGGTAAGATCCTGAGTGATTAAAGACATGTATATCAAGGCTGGCGCGAAAGATACGCTCACTTTTGAGCCACAATGGCCGCGAGCTCGCTTATTGGAACAATCATGTTCAAGTTCGAATCTTTATTCATCTGTAATGGTATGCGCGAAAATAAGAGCTGGTACTTCCTGAATAACACAAAACTCGGAAAAAAACGTCTAAAAAATATTTAAATAAATAGGATGAAGGGTCTGGAAGAGTAGAAAGCTTTCCAAAAATCTTCGGATTTTTAATCAATATTCTACTTTTGAAAACGTTCAAAAAAATTATCAATTTGATCGTAATATAATTTGTTTCTCCGGAAATGACCGTAATATAAAATTTTTGTGTTCGATTATCTTAGATTCCGGTGAACCGGAATCAACTAATTAGGGAGGATGAAGGGATGGTTCGATGCCTTTCGCAGCGATGGTGGCCCAACGCTCTACAGCTACAGCAATCGCACTCCTGTGACAGGTGACGTGCCCCTGATCATCGTATTCGTGATATTCGGTACCCTGTTCACGGCGTTCCTAGTCATATTCCCGGGTGTCAGGAAAGAGGTGAGCAGTCTTTCCACTTGTTCGTCGTGTCAGATCCTAGATCGTAGACCGACGATTAAGTAAATTACGAGTTATGGCCGTGTAAACCTGATGTTTCTCCGCCGCAGCGGTTAACCACATTTCTCACGGTTACCATGAGCCTCTTCGTGGGTGCGACGATTCAAGGTTCGTGCACTTTGTCTACTTTCCAAGTTGAAAGGCCTTGACTGTCAGTGGCGTAACTAATGGAGCTCGTATCACAAAAGCTTAGCGAAGTCTAAAAAAAAAGAAGGAAAGAAAAGAAGGAGGTGAAGGAGAGAATTAATAAAAAGATATAGAGAAAAAATAAATATTTGGAATTCATGTGCATATTTTGCAGCTATACTATTTATTTATGTTTCATTTTCTCATGTGCATACTTTTTTATTATTATTATTAAATGTATGAATTCGAGAAAGTAAAGAACAAAATAAAAATCGATATTGTTTAAAGCAGAATCGAATATTAGTTACGCCACTGTGTGGGCTCGTAGTTTCACCGCGTATTTAACTCGCTAGAGATATTTCTTCGATTGTGTCGAGTAGAAATCCATTATTAGAAAAAAATTACGAAGTCGAGATGCTAGTAAATGTAGCGAGTACGTGGAAAAATAATCATTGCGCTCTCTGTATGTACACATATAGTGGCGCAATACGGTTCATCCTGGCATACGAGCACCGCCACCATTGTTAGTTCCTACAGCGCTTTCTCCAGGCACAAGGCGATGGCCGATATCGGCGGTTACATCGGTTTAATGCACATAAATATAACATACAAGTGTAAGTTTTAACCATGGAAATTATTGGATATCTCTTGTGTCAATTTTTTACAAACCATGTTTTCAGGAGATTCAGTATATTGAACTACATGTAGCAAATTCAAATTCAATTTCCGGATCAATTTATAAAGAATAATCTACATCTATTTGCGTTTACCGGGTCTTATCTTTGCAGTATTGCCAGAAAGCGAGCAGACAAACGACGATGTTGAATACAATGAACGCTTCTGGTGGAGAAGTTCCGGTGAAATGACCAGCGCCTTCAAACAGGCTCTTTATCAGGGCGCGCCATTCCCCATTGTCTCTCTGGCAGAATACTTTAGCCTCCATCAGGAGGGCTTCTCCTGGGGCTCGCGATATCGCGAAGCTGGATATTACGCTTCGATAATGCTATGGTATTATATCCTCGATGATGAAGTATTTTCGCGACTAAGAATCTTTTCTTCATCACGCGACTAGTGTATCTACTCTAACCTACTAGTAAAATAAATAAATCTCTCTTGCAGGACCTCCTTCGCTTCGTGGCTGATGATGAACTTGTTGCTCATGGTAGTACCGCGATACGGAGCATACGGCATGATCTTTACAGGCTTGTGTATGCTGTTAACAAACTTGATTTACACGGCTCTTCTACCATGTGAGCCTTTGATAGCTCATATAGACGGCTCGATCCTCTCTTTCAATCTTGGTTGGAATTACTGGTTGGTGCTATCGGCGGGTTCGTGTTTCGCGTGAAATATTTGATTGTAACTGCTATGTGTAAGGATATATTATCGCAATATTTTCTTTTATAGGTGCCGCATGCCTTTTGGCAGGACTCGTGATAACGGCTATAGATATGATCTTCCCTCATCAATTCTCGACTATACTCGAAGTTGACTATGACACGCCGTATGACAGGCATGTTATTATAGAGGAAAGCTTCGATACGCGTAATGTCAGGCGGAAAGTTCCCAAGATTGAGGATTCGTTCGGCGATCGAATAATGAGGTGATTTGCGATCGAATTAATCGATTCAATTCATTAAATTACCTTTTCTCCCTCCGTAATCATACGCATTCTATAATTGTGAAAATATTTCAGTCAATTATCATCCAAGCTTCAGAATAGACACACTGCTAAAGAAGACACCGAGGGTGTCATTAATCGAGGATATACATCGCATGAGCCGTCCGAATTCCAGCAAGAAATCGGCGATGAGCCTAATAGAAGTAACTGGTCGTATCCGTTCCCACCTGCCTCGCGCAGAACCGTAAACGGCTGATATATTTCCCGACTATTTCAGATAACATTCATCGACTTTCTGAAAAGCCATTAAATGTTTTGATGTATTTTATGTGTAGCATATTTTAAAAAAATAATATTATTTATAATAAAAAAATAAACACTGACTTCCTTTTTGAAAGAGTTACTTACGAAAGATCATCCAAAGAGTATTCGTATTACAAATGCAAAAAATCGTTAATTTTTAAATTATAATAATATGTTCGCCGTCAAATTGTTCGGAATTTCAGGAAAAAAAAACAGGGAGAAGGAAAGGAGATGATCTTCTTTTCCTTGTTCATAAATAAGAAATGTAATATTACTCGCGTAATAATTCATAAATAATAAAAAGCAGCGCATAAATATGTACATATTGTAAAATAAAATGTCAAGATTCGCGTTGAAATATTGTCTAAGTATATGGACAGTCCAATATTTCACGCGAACGGGGAGCGGAGATATACCTTGACTAGCCAAAGTTTTCAAAGTGATGAATGAAGTACGGCAAGCGCCGAGTTTTGTTGACTTCGTCGCAGGCCGACATGACACTTTTCGTCAGAGGACGTGGTCCACAGCTAAATACTCCTATTTTGCTAACCTGTAAATCAATAATTATTCATTTCGTATGTCAAATATACTTTCGAACTAATATATATATATTTTTAATATTAATATAGTGGACGCACGTAGCTGTGTTTCTTCTGAACAAATTTCAGGAAGGATGTCATGTCCGGCCGACCGAAGTGATTTATGGCCTTCAGTCCGGTAAATATACTCTTCTTCGATAGCCTCTGAAAATGATTCTCACATATGTACTACATATGTGAAATAGAATGTAATTAATACACGAGTAATTAAAAATAGTAGAAAATCTTTTTTTTCGATTTTTGCATATTGTATATCGTACAAGAATATTAAAATTATTTTATTTTATTTTACCAGCATAGTAGTACGCAAATCAAACTTGTGGAAGAATTGCGTAATGAATATATGGATTTCAAGCACGTCTGTAACATCTTTTCTCTCAACATCTCTGAGAACGTCGATAAACCACTCGAAATGTTTGTGTGACGGGCAAATCCATAGAAAATAGACCTGTGAAATAAAAAAAAAATCGCGATTATATTGTCTAATAAATTAATAAAAAATATGTTTTTTTCATTTAAGTAGAAAAACAAATTTTTCCACAAAACCATTATTGCATCAACTTTATCGTGAAATTTTCCTGATATTTCGATATATATTAACGATATATATCTCGATGTAAATAATTTTCTTAAATACAACAAAAAATTCTCAAATGAGTCTGAATTTACTTGCAGTATATGATTCTTTTTAATTCATTTATTTTTGTGAAGAGATATCTTTTGACTTTTCACGCTCACCTTCTTACACGCGACACCCGAATATCTGTTAGTCGACGTTCCAAATACGAGATCGTTGAGCATCGAGGCGTAAGGGGTGACCCCGATCCCTCCCCCCACCATCACCGCGACCTCGAACTTGTACCAATCTTGATTCCCGCCGCCAAACGGGCCCTCAATACGAACTTTCGGATATTCGTCCTCCGGATTATAATTGCAGGGATCGAAATAATTCCGGAGTTTCCATGTCCACGGTCCCTGTGCTTTTATGTGGCACGACAGAAAATTCTCGTGCGGCGCCGAGGTCAGCGTAAAAGAATGAAACTCGTTGGATCTGAAGGCGGTGCAGGCGAGACGCACCCATTGTCCCGACAAGTATTTCAAGTTCGGAGGCCTATAAAACTTGATCTTTATTACGTCCGAGGGTAATAATTCCGTCTCGATGATATCCAGGGCCATGAATTTAGTTCGCAGGCTCACGACCTAAAATGCAAATGGCAATTCTGTAAATTCTGCGTTGCGTTGTTTTTATCGCATTAATGATAAAGAGATATTGAGCCACTTTAGATATATGTATTTTAAGCGTGCATAAAATAATAGGTAATATACAAGATCCATTACATCAGCTGATGCATGCTTAATTATTATAATAGATTTTCATAATTATTTGTTACATCACGAGTGTGCTGCATACACAAGTGCAAAAAATTGAAAGTTGTTTTTTCTCTCTTTTCATCTTTATTCTTGCTCCCTTCTACTTTTGAAAAAAATGTGAATAAGAAAAATTACTTTATCTAGTGCGTAAATAATCGCCGGACCGACGAAGAATATCCAGAATCGCGGCGCGCCCGTTAAACGGGCCAAGCCGTGGATCAGGCACAATGCGTACAGGACCACATAGAGACTGTGTGTCGACCAAAAGAATTTGTAGGCTTTCTGTCGTATGGTCGGATGTGCGAAGACAAAAATGATCGTCATAACGACGAAGAGAAGAATACCGCTTAAACCTGCATGACAAAGAGCGGAATAAGACATTCGTTCATTAACTTTCAAACGATGGCAAATAAATTCTTTTGACAAAGCACTCACCGGTCACTGTTCTGAATAGCCAGAAGGAGATGGTAGGCCGTGCGTCGCTGGGAAAGCTGATCTCGCTAGTAAGACAGCGAAGATGCGCTATCGGCTGCGTAGAAACGTGATAAAAATTGACTATGTGACCAACCGTGTGCAACACGGAGAAAAAAAGTGCCGTGCACGCTGCGATTTTGTGGAATTGTATGTGCGAGTCTAGTGGAATGTACTGCTGGATCGAAAATTCCTTCAGCTTCGTCAACAGATTACGCGACATGGTCAGCAGCAAGAGACTGTAGCAAAAAGATAGAGCGGCCGCTGATCCTCTCGTTATAGCGATTCCTACGCCCATAATATGTCTCAAATCCGTATGTTCCGCCATGAATGAGTAATCTGCGTGAAATTTTACGACGATAAAAAAATCCTTTACAGGCAATTGGTAAATATATAAAAGATGTCTTATAGATATCTAAGTTAATGTGCGATTTAGATATTTTTCGTCTTTCTTGTTTGGATCCGATTAAATACTCACGAATAAATCTCTCGATGAAGAGAGCTACGGTGACCACGTAAAACACGAAGAGGTAGAATATATTCTGTCTATTCTCCTCGAGAAAAGTCGATATAGCGTCCCACTGCTTACGCGTCCAGCTCTTCGAATCTTCCAGCGGAAGTTGATCGATGTGAAAGCTGGTCATGCGGGCAACGTTTGTCGAAGTGTCGAGAAAATTCTGCTTGGCGCCCTTGCAATCGAGACCGATCGCGACAAAGTCTCCCTTGTATTCCTTCATCATCAACTTGAAGTCATTATACGTGAGATAATCCTTCCTCTCGAGTCCGGCATCCTGATGAATGAAAAATTTGATTAACAGAACTATCGCGTGATCTATAGACGATAGGTATTTTAAAACATCTGGGGATCTGTAGCATAGTGAAGATAAGGGAGACGCACCTGGAACATGCCGTCGATCAATTCCGTAACGTGATCATCCGAGAGGCTCGTGGTGCGCGCTATTTCCACTAGCGATCTTAACATCTCCGACAGTTCCTCCTTATCGATTACGCCGTTGCTGTCCTTATCGCACATGTCGAAAATAATGCGCAGCTTATCCTCAGTTTTGCCGCGCGAAAACAGCAAGACCGTGTCCAGGAATTCCTGGAATTTAAATTTCGATGGTAATCTGACAAAGATAAAAAACTTATAAAGACGAAGATGTGAAAAAGCAGTCCATTAAACGAACGACTTGATTATACCTGGAAGGAAATCCGGCCATCGCCATCTTTGTCGACAATGTTGAACATTTTTTTGACAAAGACCGCGTCGGGTCGCATGCCCAGGGCACTTGCAAATTCACTCTTGGAAAGCGACGTGCGCATCACCGTGACCACTTCTCCGGTATCACTGTCTTCAGATCGTCGTCTTCGTTCGCCAGGGCGTAAACCGAAAGTCAAAGCATAGGCTTCTCTAAAGAACTAAAAATATTTATATTTATATTTTAAATATTTTATAATATTTTAAAATATTTTTTAACATTATATCTTTTGTACATAATATCACGCGCATTTGTGTTTCTCTTTTTCCATTATTTCAATTAAAAAACTTATTGCTTTTCATTTATAAAAAGAATTTTTTTTATTAATTCGTGTTTTAATTTATTCATAAATGGAGAGAAAGACACAAACCTGTTCGAGCTTCTTTTGTCGGCGCTCCTTGGTTTCCGCTTTTGCCAGCATGATATCTCGCGCGATTGGCGTGAGTGTGAAATGCTTTTTTTGCGACGCCAGAAACGCCTCCAATTTCGCAATGAACTTTCTACGCGAAGCCAGCGAATCGAGTTCAAGGACAAGGTCGTAATCGCGTGGTATACGCAACAGCACTAGAGCTTTACGATGTCCGGTTTCGCTCTCCTGAAACCGCGATTAATAATTAACCGTGTGACGTTAAACAGTCAGCTATTATTTAATAAAGCGTAGAAAAGTTGCGATGTAATTTGCGAGTATTTAATAACACGCAACTATATCTGTGCGATTTTTAATTGTTACATCATTTCAAAATTGTGTAATTGATATGCATAAATATTTGTCAATAAAATTGTATCTCTATGGATACTTTGGAATAATTTTTTCCTTAGTTAAAATTTATTCTAGACATATCTTTTTCTCTATACCATCTTAATTTTCAATATTATATATTCAATATTATATATAATTATATCTCAAATTAAAATTCTATTAAAATTAAATGTATTTGAAAAAAATTTAAAGAATACCTGTGATTCCTCCATAGTTATAGTGTTAACGCCGCTGAAGTCGAACGTGCGCAGTTTCTCCCCTTTCCGATCGACGATGTGCAATGCCGCTTCCGGTCCAAATTTCACCTTCACGAGACGGCGATGGTTCGCGTGCAGCCACTCACGTACAATCATCTTATCGACACAGATCCGACCGTCACTTCGCTTTTGAATCGCCTCTTGAAGTATCTTCAATCTTCGTCGACGTCTGTTTTGCAGCTTCACCAACCCATATCCGGCACCGGCGCAAAGAATCGGGACGAAGCCAAGGAATACGCAAGCGTAGATGTAAACGAGTTCGCTACCCTATGAATTTTTCCCCCAAATTTACGTAAAATATTCTTCTTTTATTCAAAAATCTAATATATTAAAAATATATTTGTGTCCACATTTATGATTTTTTTAAATAAAAAAATAGCTCTGTTTTTGTCTCTCTTTTAGAATTATTATTATGAGAAAGAACAGATGAAATTGATTTTTACATGCATATTTTTTTTTAAATTTAATTACCTCAAAATAGTCATAACGCTGTAGGGGAACACAGGGCTCGAGCATCGTCGAATTCAATTGAAAAGGTTGAGGACACGGATCACCATCCTGCCAAACGAATATTCGTTTCTGTATGGCATCGGATGGTATGTCGGTCGCGTTTGTGATTACATCCCAAAGCGTGATACGACGGATCTCCTGTATCTCGTTCTTCGTAAAGATGCTAATGAGCAAGAAGATGCGTCAGGGAGAGAAAATTAACACGACTGATTTCATCGCTAAGAGAAACTGACTCGCTCACCCATTTTCCTCGTTCTCAAACCAGAACCGATCGGAATCCCGCAAGCGGAGGAATTGCTCCTTTATAACCGCGGTGAAGAGTTCGCCAGGTCCGTCCTTGGATTCGAGCATCCCGCCGACGTAGACGTCGACGTTGTTGAGATTGTTCGAGTAAATCTCGACGAGGGTGCGCAACAGCGACGGATTTTTGTTGAATAATTCGGGATTGATCTCGTTCCACGTTTTCCGTCTGGCCAACTTGAAACGCGCCCTAGCTGTATTGTAGTCCGGAAGACCATTGTCACGACCCCGCATAATGTTCAGGGCCCCGAGGTCCCTGCGCGAGAATTCCATGGGACCGAACAAATTATTCCGGATGTCGGTACTGAGAAGGTTATCCTCTTTCTCCGCCAGCTGCGACGCCATACCCATGATCAGCTCCTCGATCGTGCTGTTAGCTAAAACTTGCTGTGAAAAGCATCTATGTCTTAATGTGACCATAAGGTTCATAAGAATTTAATGTAATGATTAGATTATACAAGGTGTTCCCCAAAACTTGAAACGTATTTTGTAATATGATGGAAACTTCAATAAATTTAAAATTGACTATTTTTCAGCAGAACATTATCAAGAAAATTTTAAGAAAAGTTGTTCATTGCTATAATTTCTTAAAAAATTTAACGTTAAATAGTTCGATAAATAAACTTACAATTAGATTTAATCTCAATTTTGTCTCAAGATCTTATAAATTATTTTAATTTTTTTAACAGTGTTGAGAATCCAAGTCTAATTGAAAATGATTAATGATTATCAAACATAAAATATATATGTATCAAAGAATCTATTTATCTAAAGTGATTTCTTTTCAAAAGATATGATGTGAGATAATAACAATGCAGTGAGTCTATTATTATAAATATGTAACTCACATTCGAGTCCCACCATGTAGAACATAATCTAATAGCTGGTTGGCCTGTATTGGTCTTTCTATATTCGCATTTTTCATCTCGCCGATATATCCCCGGCGGTATAAGAGTATGACCAAAGCGAAAAGCGGCACTTTGGAATATGTGACTAATACCCGGATGTAGATCTGGTTTATAACCGCCATATGATGGCAAATCCTCATTTAGCAATGCCGGAAGATATTCGTAAAGAATTATGTTCTGCAAGAAGGTCGAAAAACTTCACATGCGAGAAATAAGTCTTACGTAAGCGCGAAACTTAATTATGTAAATTTGACGCCGCGATTCTCAAAACACAATACAATATAGAGAGATTTATGTACATATCGTATATTCGAAAGCTCTCATTGATTACACATCTTCAATTATATAAAACTTGTTTCATTTTTACAGGCGTAATTTTTTTCATGATTAATAGAAATAATTTTCTCCCTATGTGCATTTTCGAGACGAAGCTAAAAATAAGCTATTATCTACCTGAATTGTCCCGATGACTATCCGACGTGCTCTTTGAAAGATCTCTTCGTCGGACATATCGGGATGCTCTCTCCGCACGCGAGTAGCTATGACATTGTGATACCGATAGAGTAAGATTCCCAGAGCCAATAGCGGTGGGTGCTGATTTGTTCTTGGATCTCCGAGCACTGCGCAACACAATTAATTGTTAAGCACTTTCGCAAGAATCAGAAAATTAATGGCTGAGGGAAAGTTAAAACACATTATAATAGTGAGCACGAACCCGAACGGTGAACGTAATAATTATAAGGCAATGCAAAAAGATGTAATGATGTTCTCTATAATTAATAATGATATTAATTTAATCAGAGAGCGAGAAGAAAAAAAAATTTATTTAAGTATCGGACGATTCAAACTGGGGCGGATTTCTTGCCAACAATTTACAGGGAAAGATGTTTAACTACTGTTCAGTAACAAATCGAGTAATCGATAAGATTTGTATTATCATACAAATTCGATTTCTTTTTTCACACAATTAAGTCGAGAAAAAATACAAGAATATCTGAATAACAATAACAATATAATTCAAGGCTTTTCGCAAATTAAGATTATTAATAGACTATATAAAAGCGTATTTCAGCAGAATCTCTTTTTACTAAAAATTGTTATTGTCTCTTAATCTTGAATTAATCCAGATGCTTGAAAAAATAAATAAAGCTATGTGGCGTTTGAATTTTTATTAAGAAAATGTTGTCCCCAAATCAATCAAATAGTCTCCTAATCAATCAAATAATTACTAAGAAAATCAAAATTAATAAAATTAAATAAATAAATCTACTTTTAAACATTAATATACGTAAATCTTCGCTTACGATATAGACGCTCTGGGCTGAGCATTCGCATGACATGCGGTACCGCGTGATTGAAGAGAGGTGCGCGCATGGTGTTCCTGACGGGAAATTGCCTTGTCTGTTCCATAAGAAGACTGCCATTCTTGAATGCCCGCATCGTGTTCGCCCACGCCTCGCTGCTCGAATAGACGAAGCTACCGTCGATCCAGCTCGTCACTTTATTTATCTGCAACCTCACGTATTCAGAGCTACTTCTCACGACTCTGTTTCGATGAATCGACGCCGCGTATAAGCGCTTTCGATATAACGCGCTTCGACGTAAACGGAAGCAAAGGTGATTACATTTCAAGCAAAAGAAAAACCGTAAACTCGTAATTGTGAATACACACAAACGTGACTAAACGTTGTACAGTAATAATTTAAAGACATATTTGGTATGTATCATTATAGTCATGGGTGAAAGTCGAACAAAGTTGAGGGTCTCCCGGAAGTAAACTCATAGAATTATTCTCGGTAAAATTGACCCGAGACAACTGGGAATTACCTGTTCCCTTGGACTATTGGGGCTGCGCCCGGTTTGACGGTCGTAATCCGCTCGGAGGAATGGAATGTACTTGTTACCTTGGCACTCCTTGTCGAAAACCGGATCACATTTATCCACGTCGATTCGATGAAATTCTATGGGGCAACCACTTTCGCTGGCCATGATTATCTCCGACGTGACCAGCTGTCCTGAAAAAGATTTAGCACTTCGAGAATGACGCAAAAGTTCCGGCAAGCGCGCCGTGAAATTTGAATTCGGTAATTTCGACTTTAGCGTGGTTTTATTTGAATGGATCAGGACAATTTAAATTAATTTGATTAAATTAGTTTATCATTCGCAACGAACTATAAAATAGCTCTAACAAACGCGGTAATTAACTGTGCTTCCAGGGGTATGTCTTTGGATAGATGTAGAATTATGTGTGAAATATATTACGATGTGCAAATAGCACATAACAAGAGTATATTGTAGATGGAATTACGTTTAAATAATTGCCTGTATAATTATGATATAATTAATAACAATCTATTATACGTAATTACGAGAATTTTAAATTAATCCTATATTGGCGATACTTCCTATATTATATGTTGCAGACTGATTATCTGAAGGCTATCTCTCATGATTTGATTCCGTTAAAAATTATAACAATTTTCTTATTAAGAACGAAGGACAATTCTAAGTATTATAGGTATAAATTTCATAGAGATAATCATGTTTAAGTAATTATGTATATATAAAAATTATGTAGATATAAATATGTATTATCATATTATACAACAGATATTTAAGCTACTCGTTGAAACAAACAAATCGAAAAAGCAAATTACTAAAAAGAAAAAAAAAAGTAGTTCTAGATATCTTAACTAGATTTCAATTAAGAATTTATTTTCTCTAGTACTCTATCCCTACTGACAAAAAATAGAAAAGTCATTTATATTCAAGGCCTGTTCGTGGTCACTTATACCTTGTGTGTATTCTTCTACTAGATAATAAACATATTATTATTTGTAATTATTCTCACCGAAAAAAGCGAATAATGCGGTCCGATTTTTCACAGACGGCAGACCATCGTCACCTTGCATGAACAGATCGCTGAGCTTCCGAGGGGATGGCCTGTCCTGGCCAGCCATCGCGTACACGCCATCGGAATACGCCGCCGGGACTTTTCGGATTAGCCTGCTGTCTATGGTGAGTCGTATGCGTGTATTAGGATAACTTTCCATGGCGAATTATCTTCGCTGTGCACACAGGATTGTCGCTTTCTCGTCTCTTCTCAAGGCATACGTACGCATCTTTGTACGTTTTATAACGGTTTTATACGGTAATTAATCAATCTCGATAATCTTTCTCATTTAAACTTTGTAATGCTCGATGTAAAATCTACGAAGTGTAGTGTTTTAATTATGCATACACGCATAATAACTTCTATAACGTAACTCGTGGTTATATATGTAGTTTCGTTGGAATCAAGGTAAGAGAAAACTCATCGCGTTCTCCGTCAGAATGTCGAGTATTAAAATTGAAAACAAAGGTAAAAAAAAAGTTTTGATAATGTTGATATAAAATTAAGTAAAGAAAAATTCGAGTAAAATGCCTTTGCGCGTTGGCTAATTTATTTAATAAAAAATAAGATATTTCCGTGGATTTTATTGAAAAACGACAATCTTGACAAAACAGTGCAGATATTTGAATTTCAATTTACAATTTCGAGTACTTGCCGATTGCTCCCCAATCAGGATGGGCCAGATTGTTGTAAAATCCATCGTACCTCTGTTTATTGTCCGCATAGCTATGCCCCGCATCTAAAATAGCATTCTTTATGTAAGTAGGTAAATTCGTTGCAATCGTTGAAATTTAAGTTTTGCAATATCGTTATCTAACAGACAATCGATTTCGGTGCTTCACGTTTGACCGTAAAAAAGTTAACGACCATCCGTAAATAGAGGGTATAAAAGGTCAGGATATAAAATACATCCGGCTTCTCGATTCTGTAACTGTTAAAGGAACATAACGCGAATCTACTTTGCAAAATACAATTAGAGATAATGAAAATACTTGACGATATAAGCGCGCAGATGTACATAATTGAAGAAGAATAAAAAATGTAACACGAGTTGAACACCGCAAAAGTATCTATCTTTCGCAATTTAGTTTGCTCTCTAATTTTTGTCCTTCACCCGAATACGAATGTTACGAAGTGTGAATCGAAAAAACGATATCTCACGAAATTATTAATGCTATTATTAAATTAATTTTGCCGTTTATTACTAAATTATTGCGCTCGTTATTTAATATATTAAATTAAATCATATAATTTATCTTTTTATAATATTAGTCTATTAAAAACACGATAGACATTATCGAGCGGAACGAAAAATTGTAAAATGTCAATTCGCCCCACTCTGGCAGCCTTTTATATTTCGATTAAACCTCAACGGTCCTCTCATTTTAAGAACCGCGAGACTTATGGTCGCGCACGTCAGCTGTGGGAGCGACAGATTAGACCTACCGGTTCTACCAGGTGACACGATCCAAAGTGCCCAAATGATCGCGCAGAGAGGCGACGACCGTCGTCGTCTCGTCATCGTCAAGTGTCACTTGATCTCGCCCTAGGATCTACGCCCCCTACGCATTTCTCTGCCACGTAGCTTCTATTTCTTCCTCTCCTTTTTCGCGCCCCTTTTCGCGTCTCAACGACGTTCTCGAAGACACATTTCGCTGGTACCGTCCATCAACAAGATGAGAGTGCACTGACCGCTGTCATACGAAATCTCGGATTGCTCTCTGAAAGCGATATTCGGAGGATGGGGGGCGAGTAGCGCGCGGGTCGTGTCGGCACCACCTGGTCGAAATCCAAGATATTAACGTCACCGTGAACTGATCTTTCGGCCGCTCCAGATGTAGCGATCACGTGCGAACGCAGGACGAAAGCTCGCGTATCCAGTAGGTATATCTCGCGCGTCCCTCTAAACAAGATCGACGCCCACGCGAGCTATTTTAAGGTAGACCCGCCGAAGAAACGAACCGCGGAATCTCTCACCGCGAAGGAGCACCGGATAGAGGACGCGATGGATCGATCAACGATTCGCTCGGGGGGCCCCAAGAACAGTTGGTTGCCTCTCCGACTGTGGTTCCGACTGTGTGAGCCGATCCGCGCCTCCGCCACCACACAGTCGCTCTTGGTCGCGGCTTGGTGAAAGTCGCCGGCCTATTTGTTTCGTTACCGCGCGCTACCTCCGTCTGCCTTCTCCTCCTCCATACCTCTCCCTCTCGACGTCTCCTCCGCTACGACGTCGTCGGCCTCTACGTCAGTGTTCTTCAATCATTTTTTTTTTCTTTTTTTTGCGAAAAGATAGAAAAGAATAGACGGAGCATCCACCGACGAATATCCGAGAGAAATACAACTTTTTATATCTTTTGTTAATCGATTTAAAAATCAAATTTGATTTTAATTAGAATTATCGCGATTACAAGCGAATCTCTTTTTTTTATTCAAAAAAAGCCAACTCCCATAAACTGTCGAAATTAGCCGAGGATTATCTTTAGAAGGATAGGTTTTAAATCCGGGTGCCTCTTTAATTGACTGGTTCGTGGGAATGACATTTAAGGAGAATACTAAGATGTGTTGCAGTTTCATGTATCGGATGAAAAACCACTGCTCTTGGTACGCCGTGTACAAGGTACACATACACACATACCAAGACGTGCGCGATGCGGCGCGACGTCATTGCGGGCGCAGGCCTAGTTTTCGAAGTCCGCGGCACCGATTACCCAAGGCGAAACCTCTCTCGAGTTCCCGCTGGTCGTTCCAAGGTCGTCGGATAGGCAGAAGACCACCGTGCCGATGCGCACGTTAGAGATGGGACGGCACGAGGCGCGTTCGTGTATATAATCTCAGCGTTCTCTTTAATGACTTCTTCCTTTTTAGACGCGGTCGTTCTCGTCTCGAGTGGAAATGACAAGAAAAATCCGTGTCAACGATGCGACTTCTTACGCATTCTTCTTTTATGAGCCGACAAATGAGTACGGTCGGAAAAGGTAGGGGATATTGATACATACGTTACATATGTAATTGATCTTGCAAGGTAGTTTGTTGTATAATTTGCATCAATATATTGATACAAAATGAACATTGATTTATCTGATTTCATTGAATATCATATCCAAACTATACAGAAATTTTTAAAAAATCTACCATCTCAAACGCGCTTGAAATGATTAGAATGTATTTATGATTTCTAGACGATTGCATCATCTCGAATAATTACTATCCGTAATTAAGTACCGTAATTAAGCTATTGCACGCGCAAGCGAGCTCTCGTTCTTTCTTATATCGAAATTGTAGACTTGTATTTCGGTTCCCTGATCTTTGTAATGGTTTATACGTGTCTTAATTAGACATGAATCTACTTATCCGGATTTGGAAAGATTCGCAGCGATGGTGTTGCCAGAGAGACAAAAAGTGCGGCCCGATAGAAGCATTATGACACAATCCGCAGAGAAATCGCGTCTACTGGTCGATCTCTTTTATTGCCCTTGGCACTAATCGGCAGAAAGAATCGCAATAAAAAAAAATCAAACGAGTTTATTGACGCAGTCGCTTCTTCGTTTCAGAGACGCGAGGTCTTTCACCCTTCTCTCCTGCGATAAACGCTCGATTCCTCGCTGATTTACGATATGGGATATCAGTTGAATACATTATAACATGTTTTTCGCCGAATTATTCATCCTTGAAAATTAATTATCACAATTTATTCTTTAATTTATCTATGCAAAAGAACTTGTTTATTCGCACCATCGTCTGCAAACAGTATCATCGAACAAAAATTTTCGTTTCGCAGAAGGAGATCATCGCAAACTATTCGCGATTCTTCGAAAAAGAGAAAATGATAATCGATTTAAAAATCAAATTTGATTTTAATTAGAATTATCGCGATTACAAGCGAATCTCTTTTTTATTCAAAAAAGATAGCCAACTCCCATAAACTGTCGAAATTAGCCGAGGATTATATTTAGAAGGATAGGTTTTAAATCCGGGTGCCTCTTTAATTGACTGGTTCGTGGGAATGACATTTAAGGAGAATACTAAGATGTGTTGCAGTTTCATGTATCGGATGAAAAACCACTGCTCTTGGTACGCCGTGTACAAGGTACACATACACACATACCAAGACGTGCGCGATGCGGCGCGACGTCATTGCGGGCGCAGGCCTAGTTTTCGAAGTCCGCGGCACCGATTACCCAAGGCGAAACCTCTCTCGAGTTCCCGCTGGTCGTTCCAAGGTCGTCGGATAGGCAGAAGACCACCGTGCCGATGCGCACGTTAGAGATGGGACGGCACGAGGCGCGTTCGTGTATATAATCTCAGCGTTCTCTTTAATGACTTCTTCCTTTTTAGACGCGGTCGTTCTCGTCTCGAGTGGAAATGACAAGAAAAATCCGTGTCAACGATGCGACTTCTTACGCATTCTTCTTTTATGAGCCGACAAATGAGTACGGTCGGAAAAGGTAGGGGATATTGATACATACGTTACATATGTAATTGATCTTGCAAGGTAGTTTGTTGTATAATTTGCATCAATATATTGATACAAAATGAACATTGATTTATCTGATTTCATTGAATATCATATCCAAACTATACAGAAATTTTTAAAAAATCTACCATCTCAAACGCGCTTGAAATGATTAGAATGTATTTATGATTTCTAGACGATTGCATCATCTCGAATAATTACTATCCGTAATTAAGTACCGTAATTAAGCTATTGCACGCGCAAGCGAGCTCTCGTTCTTTCTTATATCGAAATTGTAGACTTGTATTTCGGTTCCCTGATCTTTGTAATGGTTTATACGTGTCTTAATTAGACATGAATCTACTTATCCGGATTTGGAAAGATTCGCAGCGATGGTGTTGCCAGAGAGACAAAAAGTGCGGCCCGATAGAAGCATTATGACACAATCCGCAGAGAAATCGCGTCTACTGGTCGATCTCTTTTATTGCCCTTGGCACTAATCGGCAGAAAGAATCGCAATAAAAAAAAATCAAACGAGTTTATTGACGCAGTCGCTTCTTCGTTTCAGAGACGCGAGGTCTTTCACCCTTCTCTCCTGCGATAAACGCTCGATTCCTCGCTGATTTACGATATGGGATATCAGTTGAATACATTATAACATGTTTTTCGCCGAATCCCTTCTCGATCGCATTATTCATCCTTGAAAATTAATTATCACAATTTATTCTTTAATTTATCTATGCAAAAGAACTTGTTTATTCGCACCATCGTCTGCAAACAGTATCATCGAACAAAAATTTTCGTTTCGCAGAAGGAGATCATCGCAAACTATTCGCGATTCTTCGAAAAAGAGAAAATGACGTAAATCGACATCGTCCTTTCGTTCGTGCATTTTTTTATCGTATCGAAAAGTAAAATAAAACTCCGCCTGTGCTCGGCGCGATTTTTGTTAAAAAAACAACATTTCGATCCAGTGTAGAAATAACAAAGTAATGTACCACACATCCGCGTACTTTCGTGCATATCCACTCGCGTTTAATCCGAGTAAACGGACGGAGAGACCGCGAGCATACTCGAGTAGCGGTCACTTGGAGTTCGAGTTCGAAGGGTAGTAGTAAACCACCGCCGGGGCCGGTAGCTGCCAATGCGCGGCGTGGAGTTCGATCAGCTGCAGGAGCGTCCGCTTGACCGGTGGCAGAATCGTCTCTTCCGCTAGGAAGGCGTCGCGAACACCGCCGAGCAGCTGCTGCAGCTGCGCCGGCAGCTCCGTGGCCAGGTCCTTGCCGATGCACGTGAGGATGATAAACAGGGAATTCGTCTACACACAAGTGTAGTTGAAGATATAAATTAATCTCCCATTGTGTAATAATTTTCTTGAAAAAATTAAAGATTCAAGAGAGCTAAAAAATTCAATGTAAAAATAAAATAAGTTTTTAATTTTATAAGTTTTTTTCATTTGTTGATTATAATTATAAACTTACTTCATGCTTCCACTGAAGCCTGTAACTGAATGAAAGACTAAGTCATAATGAATTTTGTATCGATCCAAGAATCGAGTCATAATAAATTCTAACTCAGCCAGATTAATTGCTATGGATAAAAATTTTAAAAATGATTAAAAGATCAAAATTCAAATTTCTTTGAAATTAAAAAATGAAGAAATATCAAGAAATATCAATGATTGAGAAATACAATGAATGAGAAATATCAAGTTATACATTGAATGACATTAGCCGATTAATTTCGAAACCTTACCTCGGCGAGCGAGTTGATGACGGGCGGTTGCAAACAATCCTGGCAACATTTCCAAAGCAGCGTGAGGAGCACGCGTCCGGGAGGAACGCCCTCCTGTTGCGTCTTCAGCTGTAGCTGCCGCCGCTTTAGCTGCAATTACGCGATTACGCACGTGTATACGAGCACGATTAAGCATGCTTACCGCTGTCGTAACATGCGGTAAAAACGATAAGAAAAAACATAAACAGATTTACAAATATGAATTATTGAAACAAAAGCGCGGAATTAAATGATTACGTTAGATCGAGAGGCCTGATCCGCTTTCTTTTATTACTCGGAGAGTTGTGCGATTAATCATACCTGGCAATACATCTCGTTGAGAAACGTCATAAAGGCCGAGTATCGATAACAGGTCGTATTGTCGTATAGTAATCTAGCGCGATCCTGATACCACTGCTGACACATATTTAGCAAGGATTCCAAAAAAGTTTCCTTCGTTTCTTTCTGTACAATGCACACATGTGAAACGTACTTTAAGTTATTATTATTAATTGAAAGAGAGAGAATAAAACTGTTTGTAATTTTCTTACACATATAAAATAAAATAGAAAATAAAATAAAATAAAATAGAAAATAAAATAAAATAAAATAAAAATACGAATCACAGTAATATTTATCGTAAATGACCATACTTTTTTTAATAATATTTATTTCTGTTATTAAAAATTGAATCAAAAATCTAATTTTTCAGATATTATTTTCCCTTATTTTTATTTCTTGTATACGTTTGTGAAAAGGAAAACATTGATAGTCAAACGAATATTCATCTATCAATGATTTTTCTATAAAAAAAAAAGAAGAAGAATAAAAAGATATATAATGACCTCTATAATTGTGATGCAAACTTTAGCTGCTGGTTCGGCATATTTGCGACTTCCCACTACTCTTTCCAGAATATGCCGTACTAATTCCATCAATGTTCTCGCGTTTAGAAGATTTGGATCTGTCAAGAAAATTATCAATTATTACTAACTGCTGAGTAACACTTTTTTAATATTAAAAGTTCTACATACTCATCAATTCATATATTTGCTTATTTTTAATACTAATTCATATTCTTAAATCATGTTATAAATAAAGTTTATAATATGTACCATCCGAGATTGAAACACTAGTCTATTTAAGTCTCTCTTTTTAACTTAATATATTCCAACAATAATAGACACATACACAGATTCTATTACCTTCTATCGCTCGCAGGAGTATATCTTGAACGGGCAAAGGAAACTTTCCGAGTTCGGAAGCATCCGCGATGTTGAATGCCTTGACAGCTAGTATGTCCGAATTCAAGCTCTTGGGACGCTTCAGACCATAGGTGGACACAAAGGTGTGCGATTTAGTAAGCTTGCCTGGTTTTGCGGAATTCGTCTTGACTTCATTTTGATCTATGTTGAAGTGTACTCTATTTACAGCCTAATAAAAAAAAAAAAATGTTTCGGTTAATTTTATAATCTATATTCGAAAATATTTCAGGAACATTGATAATAATGATATCAACCCCGATGATTTTACATTAAAGTTTTCCAGTATATTTCCAGTTTTCCTGGTATATACAGTTTGTATTTCGAAGTTTCGTTGCATTTTACTTACATGTAAAATGTTTCCGCTGGACGCGGACGTGTCCAAAGAATGAGACTGACGTAATGTGGAATTCGTTGTCGAGTGATGGCTACTCTGAGAATGACGAGGTGAGAGTTGATGTTGTTGCTGCAGAGGATGCTGCAGCTGTTGCTGGGCATAGAGGTATCGGTGAACATTACCACTCGACTTGCTGTGCTGTAGGTAATACGTGGAGCGCTCGGATGCGTTAATTCGAGACCTGTTCATTCATATTATTTACAAGATCAATCCAAATCCAGAATTCTATCTAAAATTTTGTAAGCTTTGGGCTCTCGTCCAATCAATCAATTTATCCACACAAAATATTTCATATACACAAATTAATATATTACTGTTAATAGTATTACTAATAATTTGACAATAAAACGGTAAAAAATTAACTGACTAAAAACTTTGAATTATTCTTTTATTTATTTCATTTATTTCATTAATATCAATTTAAACTTGATCAAAATTTTGAATTTGTTGCTATTAATTGTTACATGACTAATTAAAGAAATTGTGATTATTCCAGGGTTAAAGATTATTATAACTTAACAATGTATCAAAGCAATTCATAGCAACACAAATTTAATTAAAAATTTATAATACATCAAGGCAAAAAATTCTAGCATGCTGGTATTTTATTTTATTTCCTAAATGTAGGCTGCTAAAAAATTTGAACGGCTTTGGAAAAACGTCGTGGTTCGTTAAACAAAAATTTCACACGGCAACAGCTTCTTAAATATAGTTCATTGGAGTTCACACTCACTTAGAGAAATGTGAATCGTTCTGCTTCATAGTGAATTCCTTGGCATGCACGTTTAAACGGAGATTAGTGACGTTTGCCGTGGTTCCTTCCGCTCTCCCACCTAAAGGCGACCATGAAATCAAACAATGACGTTCATGTGCAATGACATTAATATTTACGATACGCGCGTTTGACACCTAAAGCGAGAAAGTACGAACCTGGGGGTCGATATATTTCTAGGGACGGTTTGGACTTGGGAGTAGCTACGTTAGTACTTCCTTTTTGCGGAACCGCATCCCTCATCTAAAGAGAACAGAGAACACGCATCGTATAAAAAAAAAAAAAACTAATGTCTATCTTCGAAACAGTAGTGTGTATGTGCCTGAGAACGAAAAAAATTTTTCTTCCGCTGCAGAACCGCACTGCAACGGGACGATAATTGAAAATAATTGCGTCGTTTATATCATTGAAGGCTAATATTAACTTTTCAGACTCGGTTGCCACTTATGCAAATATAAAACGTGGGAAAGATGATTCACCCAAAACGTAAGAAAGTAGGAATGCTAGTGGGAGTGTTGTCTCATTTTGATTAATAATAATAATTTATAATAGATATTTTATTTTATCATATTTTAAACTTTAAAATAACGAATTATTATCTTGCCAAAATCGAATAATAATGCAATGTTTTTAAGTGTACGATGTATTGTATTTTATTTCTCAATATATATAATATAATTACAGCATGCTTTTACGATTTAACTGACTCTTCAATAACAAAATTATTTCTAAAGAATAGATTTTTTTTAGAAATCATTGAGAATTACAATATTGTAGAAACGTATATGTAATTCTTAAATATATCGTTTTCAAGATTTTTCGAGATCAACTTTATATGGCAGAACATTCTAATATCAAATAATATTTTTCCTTTTATATAAACAGAGAATGCTTTTCGATTTTCTTTTCGATTTAGTCAACAATATCTTCATCGTGTATTGGCAAGTCTAAATCCTTGATTACAAAATCCAAAGTTTCAAAATAATACTTCTAATCTAGCGAAATCTTGGCATTCACCTTTCACATTTGTAAACATTGCATGTGCATTATTCATTGTATGTATATAACAGAACATATCCACCGCAAAAAGCGCATATAAGAACATTTTCTCGTTGTAACATATTAAAATAAATGCAATGAGCGCATTGGCTAATGTGCAGAGACTCGTTATGATAACAAGTCGCGAAGCACGCGGGATGTCATAAACGATACACATCATGGACACGGCATTAAGTACGTGAGAGTTTAATACACGCACCAATCTATTCTCATGGACAGTTTCGTGTTATAAAGAACGTTAATTGGAAATGTGACAAAAAATGTAATAGTTGGTGTAATATTAAATTACTCTGCCACTCACTCTGTTTCGTGCATCATCTTTTTCATACCTCAAAATAAAACATATTTCATCCAAGTTTTTTATTCCACATTCCATTTCAATTACCTTTCATATAGATACGAGTTTTTCGCAATAGATAAATAAATTAAGATAAATTGAAGAAAACGGAAAGAATTCTACGATCGTAATATAAAGCCAATTTTTACAATTTCGAAATGAGAGATATATTAGAAATTTATATTTTTATAAAATTTTTTCTCTCCTTTTTTAATTGTGATTAAAATCCGCGTCATTATATGCTATTTCTCAAGTCATGTGAATTTTTCTATCCGCGCAGATTACTATATTGTTTGATTTCGCGAATCAGTCATTACAAGAGGTGCATTTTTATATCAACTTTGTTCAATTATTCAATATCTATAAATTTTTGAAAAATTGCTTGTATCTCTTTTCTTAGAAAGAACAAAATAAAGTAATTTTATATAATCCAAATGAAAAATTAGAGGAGATATAATATATATCGTACGCAATTCGTTATTATTGTCCCGCGCGTGACATTTGTTGACAATTGAAAATGCCGAGAAATGTCATAAGTACAGAATGCCATTCAAAGTGAAGCATACCGCACGATGAATAGAAAATAGATGTTGGAACCGATGTAATTTCGATGAGTTCAGATTTCGATGCTACATACATATTTCGAAATTGATCACGCGCTAGCCGTTCTCTAACATTAGTCAGAGTTCTCAATTGATTGTCTCTGTCTGTTCTAAACACGGAATTAGAAAGAGACAGAGAAGATGAGTTGAACTACACACTTAACTTTAATTAATCTTCGTAACAATCTTTCTACGCGTTTATTCGTCGACAATCGAAAAGCGACACTCGAAGCAAGATGCACGTCCTCTCCCACATATATATATGTATACATAAAATATTAAAAAATGATTGAAACTATGCGTGTCTCGATCTTTCAGACAAAAAGCGTCAAGGGAACGGAGGGGGAGGCACTCACAGTGAAAAGCGTGCGAGAATCATCCTTGCCAAGGTTCACAACGGAGCGGATGCTGCGGAAATCCTTGTTGTCGCGCACGGATCACCGAACATACACACACGGGAACGGAAACTTCCGGCACGCACGTGCAACACGGAGATGAATTTCCCGGCGGCGAGTTCTCTTTCACGGGCGAGAGGCGCGACTTTTCCGCGTCGTACGTGCGTGCGTCGTCGTCGTCGTCGTCGTCGTCGCCTCTTTGCTCGCGCACGCTGAGGTTCCTCTCCGATGACCGAGGACTAATAATAGCACGGCGCAGCCACGAACGAACGAACGTTATATATCTCTGTACGATGCCACGTACGTATTAACGCACGTCGTTGCATCGCGCGAGAAAAGCAGATTGAAATACATCCCGGATAGACTCATCGCGACGGACATCGCGCGTCGCGACGCCTCTCGAAATCGTCGATCGAAATCGCGTTCTTCTTTCTCTCTCTCTCTCTATTTTTCATTTTCGCGCCACGCGGCGAACCAAAAATGGTGATTGCCTTTGGTATCGGCATCCTAAGCCGGCAACCGGCGTAACAGTTGAGGCTCTTGGACCGATTTCGTCCAAGATATGAAGCTGGATTTGGACCAAGCGAACGAGCACAGATAAATATCAATGAACAGGAGTTTATTAACATTTTTAATTTTTTTAGATCTTTTATAAAAATTTTTGTATAAAATAATCTTTTTATATAAAATTATTAAATAAATGACGCTTCTTTATCGATATTCATTTGTGATCATATTTGTTTGCTTATTTGTTTCAATCCAGTGCAATTTTTAACTATCAATCTATCGTGGTTTTATCATAAATAGTCGCACGAGTACCAGCAAAATTGTCTTCAGAGGAGGATATGGATAAAGATAGCCTTCTGTAGCTTTACAGTGGACCATATTTTAGTGGATATAAATTTACATCTACTATATTCGTGCGCAGAGTGCTAAAGACCTTATCGCCTCTTTGCAGCTTGTAATTTTATTTCTTATATATTATATATATTTCATTGATATTGTAAACGTAACGTATAAATATAACATGCATGCAAAGACACATTTCCTTTATGATTATTTTAATTATGCTATAATAAAATATTAATAAAATATTCCACATCAATCATTAAAATGTGCGTTAACGTAAAAAGCGTTTTATTTATAAGTTTGTTATTCTATCTCTCTCCCCTGCTGAAAAATGAACAAAGAACATATTCTCGATAATACTCTGCTTTGATAAATTGGTGATTTTATATAATAGCTATTATAATAATTTTAATGCATTCACTTTCATAAGGTTTCTGTCGTGAATATAAACTTTAGTGCGTTTATTTCCATACGGTTTCTATCGTGAATGCAAACTTTGTTCCGTGCTGCAGATAATGAATTCGTTGTCGACTCGTTTTCGCGTCAAATATCGAGGTTTTAGCCTATTTTTACATTATATTACTATTTTTACAATTTTAATTTTTCGTATTTGATCAGAAAGGGATTATAAAATTATAACGAATTCACAACAATTCGAAATATCGCTACTGATGTGTATCGTATAAAATATACAAAAGAACAGGTTCTAATAGCGCAGTTTGAAAAGCGAGCGATAAGAAATTATTAAAAATCCATTTTATAACTTCACATTTGCATTTTTATAGCGTCTCATCTTAGTAAAAATTATGATAATGTAAATAACCGCCTCACCTTCGACGTGCGAGTTGCTCGTACCATTCTCGCTCTATGTATTTGTCATCAAACACCGGATGAGAGTCGATCCAGCGACGTGTCAAGCATTATTATTTTTTTTCCATTATGTATACGACCAAATCTGATACAAACAATGCTAATTTTATATAAAAATCCAATTTTTTCTTTTCAACTGTGTTTCTGAGTTCTCACTTCAAAATCTTAGTTGTCAACAAGAAATTTTGTTCGCCGACTGATCCCTCGCTGTATTTATTTCACAGTACTATTGTCTCTCGTTTGTTCTCTTGTGATTTTGCTGAATCTTTTGTGACGTTTTTGCCGGTCGTTTTGACGAATTATTCATAATTGGAATGTTACTCCAGTAGTGGATGGAATATTACTTTTACACCAGTCTTGCGATGTAAATATTTCAAACTTGAACGCGATGCATTGCGATCTACGCTCGATCCGGTTGATCGATCATTTGGCCAACCGCAATCGAACCGCGTCACTCTTGAATCGTCGCGTTACATCGTTTCTCGATAATTATCACGATGATTCATTTTGCGTTCGAAACTACGCGTCGAGTGGCACTGGTATAAACAATATCTTCCGGGATTAAAAGTCCGTCAAAAACCGTTGTAAATCATAAAGTTGGATCGAGATTTTTAAAAAGTCCCTCGATGCGAGTCGCGACGGTCACTCGGTGCCGATGCTGTCACGCCAATGACTGGAAATACGGCATGCACATGTAACATATGTCTTAATATGCGGTTTGCGTGGTGGGCGACCACCTAGGCATCGCCCCCATACACCTGTCGACGTAAAGAACATCGACGATATAATGACCAGAACACACAATAAAGCTAGAAAAAAATCGATTTACTTTTAAATTCTCTTGTTGTAGCTCTGCTAAATATATAAAAGCAATTCTACCTTTCAATAGCGACGCAAACAATTTAATCAACGATAAGATAATTAAATATAAATATTTTTCAAAAAATTGTATATATATA